CCGTTTTAAACCCCAGATGGTCATCAGTTGGTTTTTGAAGGGTGTGATGTTTGCCAAGGAACTGAAATGCCTCGGAGAGAAGAGACCACAGGCGTCTGCTGAGTGTCTGGACCCTGATGAGTCACGGGGTGTGTGTCGGTCAGTGTGAGCGCTCAACTCTCTTTCCCCCGTCCAGGACCTGTCTGAAGACCTGCAGTCCCCCCCAGTTCTTTGTGTGAATGGCCCCGGAGAGGACAAGCTGTACCGCAGTCAGAGTGCCGATATCGAGCTCTCCTCCGAGAAGGAGCGCCTGAAGAAGATGCTGTCTGAGGGGTAACGCTTCCTCTTTTTAATCCCCTGACACGTGTGGCTCGCTGCTGTGGCAGAAAGAGGGCATCCTCTCGTAACGCATTTCACTAGGGAACCTGCAAAATGAAACATCTGTTTCCTTATCCCCTGCCTTGTGCTAGAATGATCTTGTGAGCTGTGTTGTTACTTGAGAGAAAGAAGTGGGACACGGACTTTGCTTTGGTTCGAACAGCTGTGAAGATAGCCCTGCAGGTCATGCCAACTGGTGGGATAAAAGTCTGCTACACTTTCCAGCTGAGTCACTTGCTCGTTTCATATTCTATTTCTGTGTTCGAAGTAATTCTGCATCTCGTTGAATTATTTACCTGGTAAATTATTCCGGTGAAGACTGCCTCTGCAAGGACTTTAGTCCGATGGCGAGGGAGCGAGCTGGTGGAGAGTATAGGGGCTTAACCACGGTGGTACCCTCCTGTGGTGTTGCCTTTTGGCCTGCAGCCTAATTGAATTGCCTGGCGACTTGTCTCCTTTAATTTGTTTTGTGGGACAGCGGTAATGAGCCAATTACCATTACATTTGTGGCATTGTAAATAACGCGCGAAATGAAATTACCCTGCTGGCTGTAACATTTTCTCTTTAATTGCATTGCTCTGATGCGCACCCAGGCCACATTACTTTTGTCGGGCTCTTACATAATGAGGTTAGTGTGTTTATTAGTTTTGCTGCCACGTTAGGATCAGAGAGCGAGAACACGGCAGCAAAGGGTTGTTGAAACGGTAGCAGGTAGATCATTTCCATATCCAGGCCAAATCAGGACAACCGGGCACATTTTATCCCAGTTTCTGTGGTGTTAAGCAAATGACAGAGCATGAGACTCCCCTAACTCACCTCTGGGCAAGATGCCCATACAAAACACAGCTCAGCAATCCTTGTCTCCTACTTGCACAGCTGAGTGGACAAGAACCTGGGGTACAGTACTTCTCTCAAGGTACAACAACAGTGTCTGCAGCAGGGATTCAGTCCCACAGCCCATCAGTTATGAGCTCGGAGACCAACCCACAACTTGAAACCGTACTGAGGGGTGCAAAATCAACGTGTCTTAACGGGTTGCGAGGAAGAAAGCAGAAAGTACCTAATTGCCTCAGTTTGCTTGTTTGTTTCAGTTGGTTCTGTGCAGCCGATTGTGGTCCATTTTGAGTCCCAATAAACTCCCCAACTAATCATTGGAGCTGTCTGAAGAGGGGGGCAATATTTACCCCGTTGTCATCTCCTGGTTCATTTCTACCCTTTGTTCAGAGTAACTTTTTAGAAAAATGCAGGCACCGTTCTGACTGGCAGAAAAACACTCTGTAACGCCACCCTGTTGAGGGCTGTTTGTACCAAACCGGTTTCGGTCAAGCAGTAAACCCGGCCTGCTTCCCCATCGGACGTCCTGGCACTCAAACAATTTCTAGACGATATTGTGAAGAAGCAAGCTCTGCTGCACAGGAAGTAACATATATGCAGAAATTGAATTGCAATTTGCAACCTGTCTTCTGAAATTCAGAATCGAAAGTTCACCGAAAGAGTAAAAACAATCCCTGGCCAATAAAGAGACTTGGTTTCCCTTCTCTCTGGATAAGGATGCTGATGGATGCTTTGTCCCCGTTTCCAGGGTCATTTCCAGGAGGGTTCAATCCATAGAAAAGTGTATTTCTTATGCATAACAACATGGACACGCTACTTTTTAAGGGTATCATTGTTACTTATTTGATAGGTGAGTAGCAGGGTAATTACAGAAATCTCTAAAGGCAGTGCAATGGATTCGCTGAACTGTAATATATTTAGAGCCCTTATGCACAAGGCAGCCATAATTGCAAATTACCTACTGTTGCTGCTTCCTGTGTTTCTTTTACATCTGGAACCCGTTTTATAAGCTCAGAAAGGTCTGAGGCTATTCTTGTACTACCCAATTACAAATGCAGTCATTGCTTTGTGTGATCTCACAGGCTGAATTTTCCATTTTGTCCATGAAATATATCTGGTCCCCTTCCATCTTCAAACTTAACGCCAGACAATCGGCAGATTCGGAACGATTTGCAAGTCTCACCTGGATTTGTTTTAATAATTTTTGGGGGGGAATAAGTTAATGAAGGCAGGTTTGACTTTGCAGCCATAAAAATTGTTAGTGTGTGGGGCGGGGGAAAAGTGTGTAGCATCTAAATGGATCTTCTTGCTCTTCGCTGCCAGACTCAATCTGGTGGTGTCGCATTAATAGGTGACCCTCCCTCCTCCCTCTCTCCCTACACCCCAACAATCTTACTTTTCTCTCTCCTCTTGCCTCATTATTCCACCTACCTCCGAGGTGTGGTGAGTAGGCTGTTTAACCCCCGACGAAGGAGGAGAAACAATCTGTCTTTAAGTGCTGAGTAGGATGAGTCACCCGCTGATGAAATGCTCAAAAAGCTCACTGTCCATTTCTGCTTTGACACGCACGGTGGTCGGAGACACCCCCTGTACCTTTTAGACTTCCCCTTTACTTTAGGATTCCCCCCCCCCACCACCATCCTCAAAATCTGTTCTGCAACATGCTAGAGTGACAGGCTTTGAAGTCTAGTTGCCATGGTGAGTCAGTAAATGACTGTATCACCCCACCACTTCAACTGGTACAGTCACTCCTTATGCATAATTATGGAAGGGAGGGGGGTGTGCAGGGTTGGTGTGCAATGGGAGCTGATCTGATCATGGTGAAAAAGAACAGGACTCGTCTCGAGCCAGTCCTGACAGCGGGGTTCTCGCGCCACGGCCTGGGAGGTGCTTGGGGATTTGTCATGGAGGTCACCAGCCGCTTTGGAGGCAGGTAAGTGGGCCGGGATGCTCCCCTGCGCATGTGCCAGTCTCCGGGGCTGGAGCCCTGCCTGCTCACGGCAACAGAAAGGCAAGACCTGCTGCTAGATAGAGCAGCCCTGTCCTGTTCTCTTTCCAGGGTGGGTTTCAAGTGGATTACCTGTGCCGATCGCTAACTTTTCAAACTGTGATATTCAAGATAATCCCTAAAGTTTTTAGGTCCCTAATCCCTAAAACATCAAAAGGTAGCTAGCAGTTACTTGCTGGAACATGCTTTGGCAGAAAATAAAATGAATTTTTTTTGTTAAAATCCCTGTCTTCTAATAGACCATATGTCTGCTGCATCTCTGTAACCGTTGAAGGCTGGGCAGCGTGCTTTCCTTCCCTCCGTGAGAGATCACTGCATGCTTTGCAGAGCTCGGAGCAAAGTGCCAAAGTTTGTTCCGATGCGGGTCTGTGCCTGCCATACCTAGTGAAAAGGTCTAGGTTGAGGAGGTGTGAAGATCATATTTTTGTGCATGGGACCTGTAGAGCTGCTTTTCGTAAGCTGATGTGTAACTTTCCTTGTAGCTTCACACTTTTTTTTTAGTGCACAGCTCTTCTGGTTGGTTCATAGCGTTGACAGTTCAGCATGATACTGCAGCAGAACTTTATACATTATATAAAGAGAGTGATTCTAAAAGACATGTAGAAGCATAAGGAGTTTTCCAATTCACCCAGCAAGCCTATCAAGTCTACAAGCGTTCCTTAGGTCCACGTATAGTATAACCTGAAGCCCATCCATTGGTGTATTTCTGGTGGTTTCAGCTTTGCTGTTAAAGCAGGCTTTCACTTTGCTGCCTGAGCAAGGTGGGATTCCAGCCTGGGTGCTCTGGAGAGTCAGTGGATCCCAGCTCGTCCACTCTAGACGGCCGTGTCTGCCCTTTGGATTGGCAGGTCGATCTGCGAGATGAACTGGGAGGCGGAGCTCTTCACCCTGCAGGACAGCAACACCAAGCTGGTGGCTGCTCTGCACGAGGCCAACGCCAACGTGGAGGAGTGGAAGAAGCAGTTGGCGGCCTACCAGGACGAGACCGAGAGGCTGAGGGATCAGGTGAGGTCCCGCCGCCACGCCTCGCTCGAAACGACCGGCGTTCCTCGACCGGCGCGTTCGTCCTAACTCCGTTTTGAGAAATAGGTCTGGTTCCCGACTACCGTGATCTAATATGAATTGTGGCTCACTCTAGAGTCCAGAAGGTGCAAGACGACTCCCCCTGTGAGTCCATAATGAGAGGTCAGGGTGCCTTGTGATGCTACTACCGACTGTGGTTACAAGGACAAGCTTAGAGCCAAAACAATCAATGCGATTAAAAGCTATGAAAAAGAAAACTCTCGGCCTTGTCCGTGCTACCAGCCTGAACTGAATGGACCAGTCATAAAAATTCAGGCAAGCTGTTACTGCCCCTGTCCTCTCGCAGTCTGCGCTTAGCCATTTCCTCTCCCTGCTGTATTACCCATCGTCCCACACAGCTCACAAGCTCACACGTCATTAACTTTAGCTACCCTCTGTTATTTCTTTACCTGTCAGTGGCATTCAAACCTGAAAGCATCACAAAACGTGTTCATAATAAATCAGTTTATCTTAAGTTGTAGCTGCCCTTGTATAGTTTCTCTTATGAGGAAGTTTGTGTGAGACTAGTAATGACTTTTCCAGAATTTGTCCCGTTTGTCAGAGAATCGATACATCCTTGTGTATACATGTGGCTGGGTGGAGTAGTGATTACCTTGACACGCACTCTGTATGAGGTTTTAAAACAATACAATTTTAATTTAGTCCTAAAAAAATACCATTAACTGAACCCTTCCTATTTGTTAACCTGAATCGCGATTCTGCAACACTGTGCAGACCATGATAATACGGCAATATTACAATTAAATAAATTAGAATACCCCCCCCCTCCTCCTCAATTCTACATGTTGGAAAGTTGCTTTTATCTCATATAAATTAATATTGCATCACCCCATTTGGCGCTTAATCTCCCAGAGGAGTCGCGCTGATTAGCACTTTGTGGTTGGGCTGGTTTCAGGAATAGTGAACAGCTGAGGCTGTGACTCATTTGCTGTGCGAGGTAATTAAGCGACAATGTCAATTTGGCGGAGATGTAAGGCATGCCTAATAGATATACTAATTTCTTTTTACATGACGCGCAAATGTTATCTGGTCTTGTCCCGATACGCTGATGTGGAAGGGCACAAGCAAGAAGAGGAGGAGGCATTTCTTTACCAAAAGAGTTGTGGGAGTATGGAACAAGTTACTAGGTCATGAGGTTGAAGCTCATGCCTCGATGTTTCAGGAAATCAGTGAATTAGATCTTTGAGCCAATTCATTGCAAACAAACAGGTTCGATGGGCTTAATGGCCTTCTCTCATTTTCTTATGTTCTCATGATTTTGGTTCCATGTAGTCACTCCGTTTCAGACCCAAGAAAAGCCCGATTTGCCCATAGACAATGTTCTTTTTCTTGTTTTGAGATGTGAGTGGACAGGCAATTTCCTAATAATGGTACTACACAGTCAAGAACTGTTTAGACTCCCTGTGATTTGAAATGATCTCCCTGAAACACTTGTGCATACCTTTTCTTCAGTGTAGTTTTTTCCAAGTGAAAGCCACAAAAAAAAACCCACAGGTTTAAGTAATTTTTAAGAGCGTTACCAGCTGGTTTCAATGAGCCATCTCTCTGGTACTTCAAGTGAAATGCAATGGTTTCTCTTGCTTTCTCAACTTTTAGAAAGGTAAGTGCTGAGAGATACCTGTGTCTTTGTTTGGTTTTTTTTTTGAGAGAGAAAAGGGGCACTGCGTCTGCCTTCCTGTGGGTATAGATTTGCACAAACGATGTGACCAGGTGGCTGGAAATAGTGCAGTCCTCCCAGGGGGGCTGAGGTTTTTAGGACAGCCATATCCTACTTCCACTGGCCTAGTTAGAGGGAATGAAAAATCACCACGGGGAGCTGGCAGCTTTTCGTTTTCACGCAGTTAAAAATAATCCACTTTCTCCGAAGGCAGCCCCCTCCTAAAGAGTGAATACCTATTAGTGGGGCTTTTTTTCCCTTTTTTTGGGTTACTCTGACATTGCAGAGATCACAGTTCCCCAGACCGTGTTCTTACTGCCATCACAGTGATGCTTTCGTACAAGTATTCAAAATCCTCAAAGGCACTGACAAAGTCAAGCCAGCGGACTTGCTCAGAATGAATAGGGAGACTATTCAAACCAATAATCAGATTACTTTACACAAGGAGTAGTGGGGGTGTGGAACAAGCTACCCAGCCTTGTTGTTGAAGCCAACTTCCTGGCATCTTTTTAAGAATCAGATGGAGGACATCCTTGTATCTGTTACCTACTAATTACCAAATGGCCCAAATTTGGACCAAATTGCCTCCTCTTGTCTGTAAACTTTATATTCAAAATTTACACTGCCTCCATGACATTGATTTCAGACAAATCATCTTGCAATCCAGTGCTGCAGGACTCATCTTGGCATTCCTTTTTTTGAGGAGGATGTTGAGTTTAGTTATTTTTCCTTTCTTACTCTTTTTTTTTCCCTCTTTTTTTTCTCCATTCTTTCCCTCTGGGATAACATACATATTCTCTCATTGTTGAAGTTGGGCTGGGATCAGATGTTCAGACCTGGTTTCTTGTGGGATGTCTTGAGGAAATCGGACAGCTTGGTATTCTAGGGTTGGGTGCTTGAAACATTTAATTTGACGTTTAAAAGATCGGAAAAATAAGGCACAGTATTTTCTTAATTATTGAAGAGATCCCATTAAATCACCAGGTAGCCTGGCTCAAGAGCTGAAAGCACTCCATTAAAAAAGAGGATATAGCAGTCTTGACTGTTTCATTTCCGGCTGCATTTCAGACTTGACCTGCTTTGAGTCTCTGGGAAGCTTTCAAAATCTCGATAAACCAATGTTGATGAAACATCAACAGCCCTTTTTGTGATGAGTGCATACCTACTGAGTGGTTCTCTCAGTGATCTGAGAGTCTGGATTTAGTGTAATGTTTGAGGTTTATTGGCTTAATCTTACGCTTTCTGTTCGTATATCTGGTAATCCTGCAGTTGCTCGTGTCTCCCGGATGTAGTGTAGGATTGCTTTGTGCCCTGGAAAGCTTTTCCTGAACCGGACTGGCTCCTCATGTGGACAACTTAAGCTCTGTTAATGTTACTACAGATGCTGAAGAGGTGCACGGAGAAGTGATTGAATAAGACATGTGTCACATCCGGTGAAAAACAGAAGAGACGGACAGTTGTGGATTAATTAAGTGACATTCTTTCCATTAAGGATGAGGCCCACCTATTACTCTACTAAATCTACCTTGCTATATATGAGCTGATCTGCTAAAGAAACTTTCCTCCTCAACAGGGGTCTCAGGCAGGTTGCACTTGTGGGAGTTTGTACTGTTCTTCCCATAAAACCTGAGCAAACATGCATGTTCACTCGTCTCTCATCCCTTCCCTCACGTACTCGATGGAGATCAAGTCTGCATAAGCATCATATTCTCATCTTGTGAGAAAACCAATAAGCCTGATATAGCGGTTCCCGTGTCTCTGAATTTTCACTATTTTATTCTTCCAAAAACCTACATGCATAAAATGTGATGGGTCTTTTGGTGTTCGATATATCTCTCTATATAAAATATATAAGGCAAAAGAGCTGTTTGTTGCTGCTAACTTTGGACTTTTACACCAAAAAAAAAAGGATTTTTAGTCAATTCTACTCCCCTCCCCCAAAGAGAGTAGTGAAAAAGCGAGAACTAATTATTCTTTGCAAAATTTGTATGTTGTGTGGTTACTGTCACATCTAGAAACTGGAATCTGGTGATTGTGCTTCAGTGTGAGGCAGACAGACTGTCTGCTGGGTTCGTAACAGTGTTATTGCATTTTTTTTGCATTGAACCCATCCTTGGATAAATAATGTAATCAAAACTTGCTAGACACTGCCTGCCTTTGGGAGAAAAGAAGGCAGAGTGCTTGGAAGGCACTACACCTGCTAGTGAGCTTCTTTGAGCCCAGTTGCAGGGCTTCACTGGAGCTGAGAGAGAGAGAGGAGACAGGCCTGACAGCGTCTGAGCCCATGAAAGGGAAAGGAAACGACGCCACACATGAGTAATGAGGGAGCTATTATCAGCTATTGCTTTCAAGAGCCATTCATCCTTCCTCTCCTGTTATCACACTACAGTTTCACATTGGCAGCTGTTCATGCCGATCTGAACAATGAGGTCAGTGTGAACAGTGCGAGCCCAGCTGTAACACCTGACAGAAACGCAGTTCATCAGCAGGTTTCTGAGCTAGGAAGGGGCATCTGCATTTATATTGCTTCACCCTTGACCCCTGCTTTTCCAAATTGGAAGTGTACCTTGCTGAAGGGGGCAGCACAGTCAGTTTTAATTTAGTCCAGAACGGATGGAGGCAATCCATCCAGTTTGAGAAAGATGCCTATTGCTTGTAATGACTGCAGTAATCCAGGTAACATGCACCCAGGATGACATTACCATCTGTTGCTCATGCACGCACACAGGAAGCAATTCAGTCACAAATTAATCAAGCCAAGAGGAACTCTAACCCCAAAGAAATTTGCATCCTGAAGGTGAGTTTTTTTTTTTAGGCTTGGAAAGTTCTGAAACAAAGCACAAAGTTTGAGCTGTCTTTTCATGTTCATTGCGGTCCACTTAAAGACAAAGCACAAATAATAAACCTAGAATATGTCAGTATACTCAACATGGGCTATATCTAGCATCACTGTATAGTCCCCAGTTTTGACTATTTTAGGTTCAAAGCATTTTCAGCTGCTGTTGTGTTTAGGGATACAGGAAGGGAATTAGTGGTCTGTGTTGTCACTCGTTGGCCCTGTTGTCGTCAGGGGTCTGATATTCAATGCTGTTCTTCAGGTGGCAGAACTAGAGGCACACAGTGGGAAGCACAGGCCTGGTGACATTGGAAAAGATGAGCTGGCGCAGTCCCTGGAGGAACTGGAGTCCCTGCTTAAAGCAAAGGACGAGGTGAGTGAGGCAGTGTACTGAGCAGCAGCTGAGGCTGGCTCTGAACATCATTTGATCACCTGAACACTACTTGATTATTACTATTTCCAGTGACTTGATTTTACATGTGCAACAAGTGGAGACTTTTGTTCACTGTGACTGATGTTATCCAAGAGTGCTTACAGAAGGTTCTGGATAGTGCAATAGTTTGCCTATCCAAACTATTTTTTTTAATAGTAGGTTTTTTTAAATGGCAGATTTTTGGATAATACCTTAAATCTGATGGTGTATCACAATGTTTTATTTTTTCCTGACTCTTGCAGGTTAACTTCAGCTACACATGTAGGGCATTTTTTTCTGATTTGAATGCTGTTTCGCATCATTTTTAACAAAGTGTCAAATGTTCTTGAATATTTGTTTTATATTTATTCTGCGTTGCACCTGGAAAGGCAACATTTGTTTTCCAAAGCTGTAGGATTTTATTTTTTTGCAACTTGCCACCAAGTCAACAAGCTGGTTGTACTCTACACCCTGCATTTAGTGTTTGTGAGCTGACAGCTGGAAGAGGCATAATTTCCTCTTGAAAAGCAGTGAAGTGGTGTATAGTTTTGTAAAATTATTGCCTTTATTAATCTGTTGTTTATCGGTAATTTGCGATACATTTATACAAAATTGGAGTAGCGTGCACTAGTAACAAAAGGGGTGTGTGTGGCAATCCAGACCAGGGAGAACTTTGTGCAGAGCTGTTGGAGTTGCTGGTTTCTACCCCAGTGCCAGGTGCATGATATTTCAAGCCTCTGACCTTATGTTGAGCACGTCTGCATGGGCATAGAGCGAGTTACAATGCAATAACACCTCAATTAAGTGGATGAATAGGGGGAAATACTCTCTTTTAAATATTTTTATAAAAGCATGGAACAAAGACTTAATGCACCTAGTAAAAAAAATGAATAAAATGCAATAAATCTCAATATGACAAAAAACAATCCACCACAAAACAACTAGAAGTAAATCTGAAGCTTATATGTTTGATATCTTATTGGCTGTGACTCACATTTCCAACCCACCAAAATGCTTCTGCACCTCAACGTACAGCTTCTTCCACTTGCTTCTCACTAGCCAGCCCTCACATGCTTTTTGTCAACAACAGCAGATCCACATCAAATTTTATTTTCTTTTGCTCTTGCTTATGTTGAACACAGATTGCTTTTTACAAGTCATAGAAGCCATGATGGATATACTGTTCTCTGCCCCCAACCCACCTGAAATAGCAGTCTTTTGTTATGGGTGGTCCAGAGACCCATTGTTTCCAAAGTCCATTGGTTCTGGGTGTGTTTATTTGAGGTTTTACTCTATTATTAAATAGATGGGATGCTCTTTTACAGACTTACTTAAAACTTCACACCACCCATTGTCTGTACAGTACTGCATCATCCTGGTAAAGTTGAGGAGCAATTTGGGCTGTAGGTAATGTCATATGAAATGCTCAGATTCCTACTTAAAATTGGCGTGGGATGACTTGTTAAACTGTTTTCTGATAAATTGCACAGGAAAGTGATCTGAATTTTCCCTTTATTCATACTTCATAAGCATGTTGTTGACAGAAGGTTAATAATTATAATGTCTATGATTTAGTTTTGCTGAAGGTTACACATTGAGTTTTAGTGGATAAATCTTTTTGACAATGGCATGCAGAAACCTGAATCAGTTCTGCAATGGCCTCTGTTTGTAACCGGACTACGTCAGTGGAAAACGTTTTTTTTTTCCCACAGACATTTTAAAAGGGAGAAAACCTCGAAACACAGGAGCTCTCCTTTAAACAAGAGGAGTTCCACCCCCCATCCCCCATTCTCCCCTAGACTGAACTCTAGATTAGACTGCCTACAGCTGACAAAAAAAGCAAATCCTTGGATATTTCAGTAATATGCTCACAGACTCCTCTTTTTTTTTAAAAAAAAACCTTGTTGGAACTACAGACTTTTTGTAGGTTGGCTAGTTTGCCGTACTGTGCGTGGAGCCTATGATGTCCTCTCAGAGTGTCGTGCTCCGTGTTACAGGAAATCCAGATGCTGCAGACCAAGAAATCGGACTTCAATGAGCTCGAGCAGGAGAGAGAGGAGGCTATTCACAGACTCCAGGTAGGAGTACTAGTGACATAGCGTTTATTATGGTCTTTAACAGTCCTGTTTACCTTAGATCATTGTTTTTAAGGGTATAAAACCCATACAGACAATCTGAACTTTTAACATTGGATTTTTTTAGGTTTGGCTGTGTGTTTATATCATCATGGTGTAAAGATAAAAAGAACCATCTGCTTTTCTTATATAATCTGTTCCGTAGTTGACATGCTTCTGATAACAGGACGGTGAGGAGCGATATTGAACTTCAGATCCTGTAAAGAAAGCTTGTAATCGACACCCACAGGCTTTCCAAAGCATTTGCAATCCTTTCCATTTTGCACCAGTTTAGCCCTCTGTTGAAGAGACGTGGCAGACTAATAATGCACACTAAATGGAGAGCTTCTAATAAAGATAATGTGCAAACTCCTAGAGGCATGAGAAAGTGCTTTACTTGAGCTTAAGAGTGTGGGAAGCAGAGCTGAAGAGCAGCACTGTGATGAAGTTGTAGCTGATGCTGATACAGCACAAAGGCATAGAAGACTGCTCAGCAATAGGCAGGACAGAGACACTTGCAGAAGGCACATCATTGCTGAGTTTTCCCTGACGTGTTTGCTTCGGATACTAACAATAGATTTCCAATTAGGCTTCGTTGCCATATTCCCTGGACAAATTGTCATTGAAGCAAATCGAACAAACTGAAGAAAACCCAAATCAAGAATTCCCGTGACTGTGCCTCTCAACCGCTGTGTTGCAGCACAACGGTGTGCCTGCAGACATTCACGGTTGTGGAATTTCAGAAAAGCCACATGAGAAAAACAAAATGAATAAATAAAATATTGTTTGTATATATATATTAACTTGTGTGCGGTTAACAGGGCTTTGTATTGTATGTTCGGTGTGTATATGTGTGAGACGCAGGCCAAGTTCTAGGACTGTTCACAAGGGTATCTCATGTACCGCGTGTTAAACTTGCATCTGATATAATAAACCAAAGCTGAGAACATCTAAGATCATCGAGTGTCACGGTCATGTTTCGGACAGGATAAGACGACTGTGCACTTCGAGGCAAACTCAGATGAAACACTGGAATGAGTTTTGTTTCCGAATTCAGTAATGGTGTGCTCAGGTCGGAGGTGTGTACTGTATGTGTGTGAGAGGAGGGGGCAGTATGCAGTGAGTGGATTGGTCAAGCAGCACTGCAGTCGAAGATATCACTAGTACAGAGTGAGGATTAACCGATTGACAGTAAGGCGTTCTATTAATGAATGCTAAGTTGCTGACTACATCGATTGTGCACACAGCTGATTTTGGGGTGAAAAGTCTCTGTTTTCCTGAGACCCCTTATATTTGGAAAATGTCTGGGACATTTGGGAAGCTTGCGAACCATCATTCCAGAGACTACATGGCTTTCGTTTTACAAGGAGGACCAAAACAAGGCCCTGGCCGCTCTTCCTGAGCTGACTCCTGTTCACTCCGTCCTCTTCCTCACTGTCCTCCAGCTGAATGCTTCCAAATGACTGGACTTGCCGCTATGCGTACTTTTATAATGCACGAAGACGCACAGGAAAGTTGTCCATCTTGTTCTATTCAACTCAAAGCCCAGCCACTTTCTAATGCTTTAACTGACCTCGATCAGCAAGATCAAGCGAGCAAACATACCGGTTGGACTGAAGACTTCTGATGGAGGTCTTTCTATCGCCAGGGTGTAGAGAGAAAGAGAACCCCCTCCTCTGCTTTTCTTGTATGATCTGTTCCATAGTTGACATGCTTCTGATAACAGGGTGGTGAGGAGCGATGTAAATGCCTTCCTGTGAAAGATGTCGGTAAACCCTCACCTGTGTGCCCCTTCTCCCCTCTCAGGAACTGGAAGTCCGGAACATGGAGCTGGAGAGACGTGTCCAGGGGGCGGAGCAGACGCTGGCGAGCACCCTGGAGGAGCGGGTTCGGGCGGAGAGCGAGCTGCACAGGATCATCGACATCCTGGACGTGAAGATCTTCGACCTCAACGACCTGAGACAGAGCCTCACCAAGCTGATCGACAAATAGCCGCCTCTCGGCCGGCTCGGGGGGCGCCGAGGAGCTTGCTGGGACAGCCAGCTTTGGTATAAAAGCACAACCTTTTTCTGGGGAGGAGAGGTGGAAGCCATTGCTGTGAGTTCTGCTGCGAAGCACATTAATTAGCGAAAAACCAGTTAGCGCTAGTCAGCGTGGCACCTGTAGGACCCAGTATAAACTAGATCAGTGTTTCTTGGGGATGTTTTAAATTGTTTTCCTTTCATGTAGTTTCACACTAGACTTCAGCAAGCTGTTAAGACTTAAGCTTTAGAGTATTAAACTTTGGTCAGTATTATTATTTTTTTTTGTGAGAGGTAATGTTCAGGTTTGTTTGTTTTTTTTTAAAAAGGCAAAATCGTGCTCCTTAGGATTTTGAGCACCGGATACTAAGGACAGTTGTCCTTCAGTACAGTGGCCAATCTTTCTCTCTTTGCACAGTTGGACAGCTTGGAGGCTCTAGTGCCAGCAGGGTCGAAGTGAGCATTACTTGATCTGTTCCGCATGAAGCTACACTTCTCAATAGAGAAATAATGGATGGAATTAGTGTGGGGGGAAAAATCATGAATTCTTCAACTTGTACTTGAATGCCTTTTATAGTTAAAGATATTGATCTTGTTAGATGACTAACACCTTAAAATAAATTGCCACTTTTAACTGGCTGCCATTCACACTCGGAGAGAAGTGGCAATTTTGATACTTCGTTAACAGTGACGGCAAAATCAACACCAATTTTAATGAACAAGTGCAGGATTGTCAAAATGGGTACTTTCAAGTGTAGGTTAAGAGGTGGTAGCTTTCAAACTGGATGACACTCGTTAGGGTTTGGATTGTGAGGATTTTAATGGGCTCCATCTGTGAGGGAATGGTTTTTGTTAATTTAGATTAAACAACAGTTTGATATATGGGAATGCATGGTTTTTAAATCTGTTGCACATAGTGAACACCGAGAACTACAATGATGGGTATATACATCTATGTACCTTCTAGTTGATCATTTACAGTGAATCAGTCTGTACATACATGAGAATTTAAAACCTCACAAGTCTGTTCTTATACGGTCTTTTTTCGCAATGGTTTGATAGATTAACATACATCATTATTGCCTTTTAATGCACACAATTGATTTTCTGGAAGTGTTAATTCTTTTTGCACCAAAAATAGATATTGCACAATTATAGTATCAGTTATCATGTACATACTTGACATGTATAGCAGAATCGTGTGGAAGAAAAGCTGGGTGTACTTTCAAATCAAGGCTGTTAACTGCTTCCCTTTGGAGTGTCCAGTTACAGATTGCTAAGCGGCTTACTGTCTGGAAAAAGGGCTATAAGGGTTCCTCTTGCTGCTTTTTATATCTGAATCCGGGTGTTTTAAAGTCTTCTTTAACACCCCTTGTTTCCTTAGTCTTACTGGAGTCAATAATCGGATCAACAGCCTTCTAAAATGAATACCGAGACATATTTTTACAGAAGTCTCACTGGAAAGAAGGAAGGAACACTGCAGCTCCGACTTTCTGACTTCTTTTTTCTTTTGAAAAGCTTGCAAAAAGCCTGTTGTACAGTCCTTCTACATCATCATCAGCCACAATGTGTCAGTGTCCTTCCACTTTTCGTGTTTTTTAAAAGGCATCAAATTTAAAATGTTCTTTTCAACAAAAACTAAGTATATGGTGTTAACCCCATCTAGTAATACCAAGAGTTCTCCTGATTAAAGTAATTGGCTTGACAAGTTGGAAAAACAGGACAGTTCAAAATGGCTGTTTAATATCATGGACTGAATGCTGAAACTGAGAGTATGAGAAGCCATTATCGGGTGGTATGTACTGAAAAAATAAAATGAAATGTGAAGGATTTTTTTGTTTTGCTATTGCTATTTGTTAAAAATATCGGCACAATCAGACATTATACAAAGGGCTTTAAAAAAAAAGGAAACTTTGATAAATCCTGGGGAAATAAATTCTAAGAAGAAAAATGTCTAAAGCTGAATATAGACCCATACTTATAAGGCTCCTTCTTGAACCCATATGCTTTGCAGTTCACTCTGGCAATGCAACCCAAAAGTCTAGTGTTTTAGGTTCAGTGCTGGTGATGTGTGATCTCTTGGCATTGTCACTTTGGTGCCCAACATGAAGTGCTTTATGAAAGAGCAGATTTCTGTTGCGGACTCTGGCGTTTGTGGCCAACGCTGTGCTATCTGTGTGGTAAATGCACTGCTACACACCTTGCATGGTACTTGCAACAGAGCCCACTACTTACCAAAGATGCAGTTCTAGAAAGATTACAGCAACCTGTTTGGAATTGAATCTTCCATGTGCGATTATTTTCCTTGCTCTTTAAAACTGGAACGTTATTAATCTTCCAAACGAAATACTTTTGAAACAAAATGGTATGATGGTACAAAAGTTGATGGTATAGTGTCTTTTAATATTTCTAGCAGGATCAATCTATTATTTATTTAGGTTACACAGTTTATATATAGCTTTTCCAGTATTGTCTAGAATATATGAGCACTGTTATATTAAATTACCTCAGCAGGCTGCTTTTATCAGTTCCCTGTGCTGAGTGTTCTTATGGTGTTCTCCCTGGGTAACAGTATAGTTACTGTCATTATAAACTAATGGAGAGAAGGTAAAACAATTGACTGGTAATGGAACCGTTTTTGATGTGAGGTTGCCCGGTTTTCTTTTAAAAAAAGACCACATAATGACTTTCATCACGGCAATCAAGCACAATCAAATGGAGCTACAGTGTTAAAACTGGTTCCGATAGACCGGCTCATTACCACCTGTATTAAAGTATTAAACCCTGTGGTATTTATGCTCCCTGTTCAGATCTAGTAAAGTTATTGTACCTCATTAACCTCTGTAAAGACTCAGCTTTTGCAGAGACAGTCTGCGTGGCATATTCATAACCCCACCCACCTTTTTTGGAGGCCTCCCCCAGCCAGATTAAATGGTGCCGTTGGTATTCATATGTGAGTGAAATGTGCAAGATTGAACATGGGCCACTGTCCAAATGTTCAGCTGGATTTCACCTTTTAGTTGCAAAGCTTTTAACTGAGGGCCCGTTGTGATGTTCAAGAACACAAAGCTATTTGCTTTAATTAATTGGAACCCGTTGATAGTATGGAAGATTGCTGTGAGTGATCAGGGGATATTTCTTTTTCAATTTCCATACATAATTTTAGAATGCAGTTTAGAGTAGTAATGAAGTAATCATGACAAGTGCCAGCTGATAGTTTCACACATTTGTTAAGGGTGCAAGGTTCCTGTGGCAAAGAGTCCTGGAATTGTGAACGTGCCGTTAGTGTCATGATACTACTCTGCTTCATAGTGCGCCAGTAGTGACTGCAAGCTCAGAAGCAATATCTCAGTGAAATCTGGTTTCTTCTTGAATATGATCTTGCATTGGTATCACATTGAGATATGGGAAGTTTTTACACGTGCACTGTGGAAACAGTGCTGCTCCTACAGTATATGTAAAGAGGTTAGATTATAAAGTTTCTGGGATAATTTGACACAAGTACCTTTCAGAATCCCGCCTGAGGCATAATTGAGCACATGCTGTGCATTGTCTGCTTAATGTATATTATTCAAGTGACTTGATGAATGATGACTACAAGTCAAATAAAAAAGCAGGATGACTAAATGTGCTAGATTCATAATTGCAGGGGGAATCATTTTAAGGAACCCTCAGACAATTCCAAAACACTCATCTCTAGCTCTCCTTCATATTTCCAGGCAATTACTGATGGCAATGTGTTGAAGTGTTGTGTGCAGCTGAGAAATGCTCAGGATTGCAGGTTCAGATCCAGGCTGTGCTGCTCATCTGCTGTGGCTGTGTACCACCTAGTGGTGGCTAGATTGTTGATGTGTTTGATTGAAGGGAAGTCTTTCAGTCATAATGGCAGAATCACCTCTGGGTTTCTGAAGATCTGTTCCTGGGAAGAATGTTGATTTGGGTATGTAGATCATTTGAAAAGCAGAAACATATAGTAATTCACTGCTTTTCTGTATTTCCAAAGTAGAATAGTGATGTCTTACATATCATAGTGTAACAAGAATTTCCCCTCTCCTGGTTCAGAGCGGGAGAGAAATATTAGTTGTACCTGATGCTGTGGAAATGGAATTTGCTACAAAACCTACCAAACTAATTTTAAAACTGTTTGTAGTGCTTTCAGTCTAGTTGAATTAAAGAGAAGGAGTGTACTTTTAGCTCTGCAAGAGGGTTTTTAAGTTCTAAGGTTTTTCATGGGTGAATTTGTTGGCTTAATGCCATTCGTAATGCATTATACTTGTAATGCAGGTTTACAGAATATACATTCTGTTGCTGAAAAGACAGGACAGAATGTATATTTTATTTTAATGTTTTGGTTAAACCACTACTAACAAGGCTAAGTGTTTACACACCAAGATATTGGGCCACTACACGATGCATTATTTATTCACTTTACTGTAGCCTGAAATGCCTCATTTGTGTCCAAATCGAGCTGAGATTTTAAACTGAAAGAACTGCTGTGGGCCTGCAGCAGAGAGGAATCGCAGAGATCTGACTGCCACTTCAGTAGTCTTTGTTTGGAATCCTTTCCTGCACATCCGTCATCCTGTGTGGCAGGTAGCAGCTTTCCTTCTGATAAAGAACAAAACGCCTTAGCTCTGCTTGACAAAGGGAACCTAGCGAAGACAGGCCTGACATTTATAATCGGTAGTCCATCTTCAGTGTCAAGAAGCAGTTCAGAAGTAAAAACAAATGAAGAGTATTTTTATGCATGTATATTAAAAAATGTTCTAGGTACAATTTCATTTCGTGTAATGTTTCTTCCTCAGCTGCATTTCATTCCAATACAGAATGTTTGACCTTGACAACATTTTACATATGTCCATATACATGTTGTTGTTTTTTTTCTTTTGCTTTTCAAGGACACAAAACAAAACCTCCTCTAAAATCCCAGTGTTTAAATGGGAAACTACAACTTACGTTGTGGCCCCTGAGGGTTCTGTAGGTGGTTTTCCACAAGCTTCTTTTTGAGTTTGGCAACAAACGTGGTGTTTTTAAGACTTTTTTCCCCCCCGTGTGACAGTGTATTGTTTAGCTTAACAGGGGAAGATGAAGTAGGTAAGTTTCTAGTGTTTGCATGAGTAGAAACTGGACTCATTCCCATACTGGCATATTCTTATGTGGGATAAGAATTAACAATTTGATTAATCAATAGAAGGTCTGTAGAACTTGCCTCTGTACAAAGATTATTTTTGCCTTGATTGCCAATATACTATTTAATGAATGACTGTTCAATTTTCCTGTATTTTAATTAACATGCAGACCTATGCAATTCTAGGCATCGGCTTCTGTCGTACGATTTCAGTCAAAATTAAACTAAGTGCTGTAGTTTTTCTTATATAGAATCAGTACTGTTTGTAGTTTTTGCAACGTTAATGGATGCTACTACAGCGATGGCAGGAGAAGGGGGAGGGATCACGTCAGAGTTTCAATTTTGTAATTTTTAATGTTGGCTTTAAATAAAAGTACATATGTACACCCTTTTAACTCTTTGTGATGAGGCTGGTTATTGCCATGGCTACCTGGCACTGCTGCAGAGTGGTGTTGTAACATCTCCAGAGGTTCTATGGGGAAAGTTTCTGAGTATTACCACCAGGCGGGGTTTCTCCCTGCTGAGGGGAAATAGGGAGGTGAATGAGGGCAGATGGACTGACCTTTTTAAATTATATGAATTACAAACTGTGCAGCGTGTTTATATGTAAGTGCATACATAAGCGTGTAGTCTACCCAAGTGAAAAGTTAGTATATTCTCCTTGACCTAATTGAGAAGGACTGGAATGGTCTTGTGATCGGCTGCTTCAAGAATGTGGGTCAGATCTTGGGGATGTCGCATTGTAAAGAAGCTAAAGCCACTGGGAGCCAACATCCATCTATGCATTACAAACAACAAATTTTGTCTGTACCATTAATTGCCCTAGTTTAACGCTTAAAAAAAAATCAGGAACACATTTTTAGGGGAAAAACTTAAGTTCAGAACTGTGCAACATTAAACAACAGAATTGAGTGACATGTTTTCTATTTAAGAACGGAAGCTTGTTTATGTTCCCTCTGGACCTGACAAAACCAAGACAATGGCCCATCACAGTAATCAGAGATCATTCTTTATGATAGTCTGTGCTCTGTGTGAGCCCTTAACCTAAGGTCCTGACTATTTGGCTATTAAAGGTTCCTTGGCATTGTTCCTATGGGTGTTCACGTCAGTCACTGGTGTCCTGGCTTAAGCTTGCCCTGAGTTTGCATAGAATGACCATATAACATTGAGTGTTCATCTGGACACCAAGCTGGCATGATTAAAAGACTGTGCTTGATGTAAAAAAGAATAGTTTGTAAATTCAGTACTATACTGGTGGAGATATACATTGGTGATCAATGCCCTTGTGCAGTTTACATATAATACCAACAAGCTTTTCACTTTTGAACATATCTTGCAATGATGTGCAACATAGGCTTTCTGAATAGCTGACACTTGGTTATCAGGAATTGCTTTTACAATCACATCTCCTTTATGACCCTATTTAATTCAGCTGGTAAAGTAGAACTTCAGAAAACTGCACACCACAGTATCTGATCTGTAGTCTAGTGTGGCTGTTGTCGTGCTGAAGCCCAGCACCCAGCTGTGTACTACACCCTCCTGTATGTGAATTGCTTTGGGATTATTTTGCAGGCTAAGTGCTATACAAATACAAAATATATATATATATGGTTGCTATATTTACACAGTCCTCCCATTTACTACAATACTTTATCCTATTGGCTATTTTAAAACCAACATTCATCCATGTAGGCAATCTCTCACTATTTACAAAAAGTGGTGGTTACAGTAGTAGTATTATACTTTTTCTTTACTTTGGAACATCTTTTTTTAGCATTCAGTGATTGAACAGTACCTTAAATCCCAAAAAGTTCACTTCAGATATTTCTTGTGCAAATCAGAGGTTTGTTGGGTCAGGAAGCAGCTTTGAAGACTGACTGACTGGTTTTAAGCTTTTTGTTAATGGTTCCAACAATATTTTATGCTGAGGACATTTACTTCTGATTTGACAATGCATAGACACAAGACAAATTACCTATTTTGAGACTTTCCTGCATCTATTGTTTTATTTTTAGTATTTGTGAAGTCATTCACTAGCACAGGGCACCTGGCTTACTGCAAAAGAAAGATCTTAGCCCTTTGTTAGTAGTCTTTACAATCTTACCACCAGTGTGTTGAAAAGCTGTTCTATTCATACAATTTCTGGAAACACAAGTCAGTCTTTTTCACTTATTTTCATTTAGAACCCAAAACTGAAAACCAACTTTCTTTAACTAGGGCCTTACAACTTCCATCATGCCAATTAAACTGCTTGCAGCAAAACTGTTCAATCAAGTGAACTTGAAGGACTGCGAACTGGGTAGTCCTAATCTAGGAATTCAGGTTCTTTACCTTACCTATCAAGTAGATGATTATTCCATGGTCAGTACTGGTTTAAAGTCAGTGGGATTAATTTTTTTAACCATTTTATTAGTACAGTACCACTATTCACAACTTAATTTTCACCTTTCAGTGATAGTTTTTGTCACATTTAGGACTTTACTGCTCTCTAGTGGAAACAAAGTAAACTGTTCATAGCAAACGGGTTTGATTACCAATGGCTTTCCCATGAGCGTTACAAACAAGCAGCCCTTAAAATTAACTTCATTGCAGGACACAGCCACCAGCTTGTGCAATTAAACCTGCTCTAGAATTCTATAGTGCAGGGGATTGGAAAAGCAACATGAAGTAGTCTCTTAACATAAGGCATGGTCCAGTAATATGGTTCTGGATGCTGCAGGTAACGTAATTCAAAGCTGTTATCTATAACCATGTCAGTAACTGTAGTGGCTGTCTGGTGTGGGCCTGCCTCCGAAACCCAGGGCAGATCACTAAGAACTGCAAAGACCAGACTAATCTGATTTTAAAGCCCACCCTCCTCCTTAAAACAACATATCAGCCTGTATTTAGTTCACTTAGCATTTATTGAACACCTCTACAAAAGGCAGAGAGCTGCTGAACAAGATGTACAGTTTACTTCAGCTTCTTCTTGGGGCGCAGGTTGTTGGTGTGGCCACATTTCTTCTTCCGGCAGTTAACAGCACGGGGGTGGAGGCGGGCATAGCACCTAGAGCACAAAACACTCCCTGTCAGACATGTTCACACTTGGACAGCACCATCTCAGCACAGGAACACCCCAGGACAGATGAAAATCGGACCAGAGGTCTCCTCTGGTCTAACTTTCATTCAGGACAGGCAGTCTGCAGGCCTATCCTGAAACTGAAGCACCAAGCACAATTCACTACCTACCCAGGGCTGTAAGAAACGTTATTACCCTTAGATGTTAATAACCACAGAAGGGGACGGATCATAGACCAACGTGGCAACAAAAAAAAATCCCAAGGCCCTGAAAACTCTTCTGAAACCATGCTCATACAAAGGGAAGAGGAGGTAAGCTTACTTGCGGCAGATCATTTTGTCGCAGTTGTACTTCTGAGCCAGCTGTCTCAGAGAGGGCTCGATGATACCCCCACGAAGACGCAGGACAAGGTGGAGGGTGGACTCTGCACACAACAGAAAATGGATATTAGAAGCCCGTCTCGGGGTACCATCAGATGGTAGATGAGCATGTGTTTAGACTAGAATGATAAGAGTCCTGCACATATATAAACCATGAACCTTAGTTCATTTCTGGGACTCCAACTTGGAGACATGGAATCCAACTCAAACAGGCCTTAAAAGCTGGCTCGCGGAGAAAGCTACTTTCACATAAACCCTAGATCAAAATGTCTACTGACATGGTTACATCCCTCCATCAGTGAAATGAAACTATGGACTAGAGCCTAGAATGAAAGAAAAATGCTCAAATCATTTTATGGATTCAAGGTAAATTGCAATTCATATTTGTTCAGAAAAATGCGATAGGACACCGACTATTCATCTGAGAAAAGTGCGAGAGCTCTCACCTTTCTGGATGTTGTAGTCTGACAGTGTGCGTCCATCTTCCAGCTGTTTGCCAGCAAAAATCAGACGCTGCTGATCAGGAGGAATTCCTGAAAAGAAACAAGAATCTTTCACACTCTCCCAGTGCACTGCACTGCACCTAGGAACTAGCAACTGAAGGAACCCAGATATAGGTCTTCTGAATCACCTACACTGACAACAATCTCTTCTTAAGTTCAATGTTCTACAGTGGGCATTGGAAGATATGCATGAATAAAAAAATCAAGTACTGAAATGTACATTACATAATTCTGTGTATTATACAATTCTTTGGCACACCCTTTCCTCCAGAGTCATACCAATATACAGTCCATGCAGCATTTAAACTTAACTCTTAATTTCTAAATTATATCTATGGTTTTAAGCAGAAAAGACCATTAAGTACAAGTAAACTGAACCAGCCTGTGTTGTCAATAACGTTGCTGTGTTCACCCCTACAAATTGTACACAGTGTTAACCCATTTAATCACTGCTTCAAAACTCTGGCATCTTGTCCTTGGCACAATATAAAGTCTTTATTGAACTGCCTTCTGCTGGAGAGCAATTGCATAGGATTACCTTCCTTATCCTGAATCTTAGCCTTCACATTCTCGATGGTGTCACTGGGCTCAACCTCAAGGGTGATGGTTTTGCCAGTCAGAGTTTTCACAAAGATCTGCATCTTTGCGGGCTGCTTAAAAAAAAAAAGAGACATAATTGTTAGAAACCCCTTAGAGCCTTAAGAATCCTTAAGAAGATAGCACCAATTATTGTCCAGAAATAACCCCGAGTAAATTATTCACATTTTTCTTATTTTGTGATTGGTTTTAAGATTGCCTAACATTTCACAGTAAAACACAGCATACTCATCTCAGGCGCACACTGGCGATCAGAGCTAGCTCATCAGGATATAGAGCGTTACAGAAAGCAACAAAAAAAATCGAAGCTTTAAAACGTCAGTGTACAGCCCAGATTTTTAAAGTAGAATATAAAATAATGTCCGTCCGTACAGCACTATGTGTCGCTGTGGTTCAACGCCTGAAAACAAAAACGTTAAATTTTATTCAGCTCCGAGTTCGTGCTACCACATTCCCGGCTCTGACGACCGGACACATGGCGGGCGTTCAGACACACCGTAGGCCTCCGTCAGCTCACGGATTCGCAACTTTTATTTAACGTCGTACAAACATTACAGTTTCTGCGCTCACCGCATGCAAAACGACCTTTTCCAGAGAGCACCCTGGCGTTATGGAAATGCTAGAAACAGCCTTTTTTAAAAGAAACTCGTTAAAATTAAAGGAACAGTATAAATACCCACCCAGCCGACAGACAAGCCAGATGGAAAAGAGACTGACTGAGGCGGAAATGGCGTAATTCTACGTCACTTCCACTCATTGGCCATCCAATAGAAACAAAATGTAGTTCTGTCTGGTGCAGAAGTGTAATTTTGTAATTTTACTCGATTAAATAGTTTTATTATTATTTTTCGTTGTTGGTTTGTGCAACGACAAAATATATAGATTGATGCTTACATTGTCGTTAGTGTCTGCGTCTGATTACTGGTTGATTAATGGGTCTAATTAAACTAATACTTGATGGGTAGTTAGGTGTGCAAGGACTAAATTTTCGATGCTGTTCCCTTAATATTAATATTCGTTAATATTCAATAACGTTTGTAGATTATACACTTTTTGTAGTTCTCTTAAATACACAATTGTATGTTTTCATAATTTGTACGCACATAGATAAAGATGGGTTTCAGCTGGTTTCTCTAAGATGATTACAAGATTGGGTGACTTGTTCATTAGTCTCAACCCTTTGTGTGATGAAGTGCCTCCTGTTCTCAGATTTAAATTAATTTCCCCATTGGTCACATATGGTCTCTAATAATAAGAAAAATCTATAGTTTGAGATATTTGTAGAGCTGCAAAATCTGTAATTACCTCTGACATGATCACGTTTAGAGTCTCTTGTGGAAAAGGATGAGGTTATTCTCTTGAGGCCTGTAATCTAGAAAGGCCTGGTGCAGTGCAAGAGTAACGATTTTCACATTGTTCATAGCAAGAGCTGCATGCTAAATAATGGATAACTGGTAACTGAGCCTGGAAACACTGGGCAGCATGATGCTCTCAGCCATCACAGGGCTCCTTCTGAGAAGAGAGCGATAAAGGTAAGCACCTACTGTCTTTCACACTTGCGAATGTCAACCGTATATACAGGGATGGGCACGTCTTGTAGTTCCAGCGCGTTCTGTTGCATGAACTCATTTCATGTCTGAAATATTTTATTTGGTATTTTATGTATGTGGTGAAAAAGTAGCTAACCCCCTTATGATTTTACAGTTTAACATATCTAGACATAATTGACCTCCACCGAGTAAAACTAACCTCATTTGACAAATTATACACAAAAAATCTGCCAGCACTCAAATACACCCCTTGATTCTGTAAATTGTGGCACCCCCTTTAGTAACAGTATCTTAAACATTTCCTGTAAGTGTTGATCTGTCTTTCACATCTCCTGGGAGGAATTCTCATAGAACAGTTTAAACTCTGTGATGTTTGAGGGCTTTCTTGTATGCACAGTGTACTTACTTTGTACTTACTTTTTCACACAAAGGTATTAAATGTCGACATAATCTATTTAAATAAATAAAGACAATGCATGGTTTTTGTATGCTATTTGTCAAATAAGGTTAACTTTATCTAGAACTAGTACTTGGAGAGGATTAGGTGAAGGGGGTGTAGTTAGTTTTTCACCACACTGTACATGGTGTGTGTATTTTTCAGGTCTTGCTTAATGAAACAGTCTCACATCTGTTTTTTATATGTGCATATAAGCTACTGTGATGTCATCCTCCAGTGATGTCATGGTTTCCATGGTTTCCATGGTGACTCCAAAACATCATCATTTACCATTATCTGCCCTTTGCAGGCAGCATGCCAGAGAGCTCCTGGTGAACTCAATTCATCCTGGGCTTATAGACACGCATGGAGGCAGCACTAAATCCACAGGCAGGGAGGGGGTTCCCTCAGTCCTCGCACATCCAGTTAGGGCACAGGCTGGTGGCTGGGGAGGAAGGCATGAGAAGCACTTTCCAAAGGGACTTCCGCCCCTTCGGCGTACTTCCTAAGAGCAGCCCCATCCCACTGCCCAAGCCTGCCGAGGTGGAACACAAGGACGTACACAGGATCAGGGAGTACCAGATGGAGACCAGCAGATCCTTCACCTACAGGCCCCGGGAGCCCTTAAGCCAGGTCCCGGCATGGTCCAGACTGTCCACCAACTTCAAGATGCACTCCGACCAGAAGCATGTTACCTTCTGCACCACCCAGTCTGAAGGCTACCAGCGTCACCCGCCCACCCCGGTCCCTAACACCGCTGAGCTGGCCACTTCCTTCAGGAACAGCCATGTGCTTTCTGGGGAGACGTTACCTCTGCCTCTTTCTAATCAACAGTTGTCTTTCACCGGCCACAAAGGGACAACTCAACCACCAGCGAGGCCACCAGTTAGGCACTTAGGTAAGTAGCTGCAGTACATATGGTGCTGACAAGCTGGTGTAACATAATGGAAGCCCAAGGTGCAATTTATTAGGACGCCAGGGTTAACAGCTGTACTCTTAAGAACAAAGCCAAGGAGTCAGGACTTTGGTTTCACATGTGCTCCAGAAGACGCCATCCAAGGGCATTAGATTGGAAATTCTGGTCCAAGGATGAATGTCCCGTCTGCTGATTCACCAGTACCACTGTCATGAGCTACCTGGTTTTCATGTTTCTGTCTAGGCCCCTCCTTGTTTAACTTCTAAATCCAACACAATCAGACTACACTGCTGTCTGTCTTTCAAGTTTTCAATACATTTCAATACATTCATGTTTTCAAAACATTCGATTTTTTTGTATCAATAGAAGTCACTCACTTTGTAGCTTTCCACTAAAACTTCATTTGCCATTTCTCAGTTTCCTGCACTCAAAGGCAAGCGAGGACAGGTTTAAAGAGGGTAAAAAATGAAGTAAGACTGTACAGAACTATTGTGCAGCGCAGTGCAGTCCCATTTCAGTGCCTTTTTTACTGAAAATAGTTACCCCATCAATCAAAGTCAAATGCTGCAAGAGAGATCTGATTTTGATCAGGTGCTTATGCGATATCATAGTATATTTTGTCCATCAAGCGGCAAGACGCCTTCAGAATGTAATCTGCTGGCATTATGAAAAATGACCATATTTCTAAGACTGGTGTCAAGTGATGGTTCTGTGCTATTTTAGTGAAATTTGCTGTCTCATGTTTGCCTATAAAAGGTGGAGACCCCACAATTTTTGAGGATAGAGATCAAGGACAATCTTACACCACCCACTACCAAGATGTGTTTAAGGGTAGCTGGAGTTCACCCCCACAGCAAATTGAAAAGGTAAAGCTGTCATTAATACTGGTGTATCCAGCCTACAAACTATTTTTATTCTAGAGTATATAACTGACATATCATTCAGTGTAATATTCATAATAAGCTATGGTATTTTCATTCACATGACCAGCCTCTTTTTCAAAGATAGGCTTGAATGTCTAACACTGTATAACCTCATAAAATGAAGGAATGAGCAAATACTGTAGTTACAGACACCTTGTATTTATCTAGTAAGGTAAAAACAGGACATAACCAGTTTAAAGTCCAGATACTCAACGTGTCAATGTGTTTTCTGAATGCAGAAATGTTCGTCTTCAGTCGCAATGGGAGATCCTGAGAAAATCCATGAAACGCTAACCACCCACGCCTCCTCCTTCTATCAGAAAGACACTCTGAGGTACATGACTGACAGAGGCAGATATGTGCTTTGCCATCCGAGTGTGAGCTTTTTTAAAGGAAACCATTCAAATGAGAGAAATTGCAGTTTCTTCAAACCTGTTAAAACTCCTGCAGTCTTGTTGATGTTCATCACTGTTTAAGCATTTTGTGGTTTCGGTCATATGACCGAACTGCCTTCTTTATTACAATTACAGGTATGATGTCCGTAAGGAAATTAAAAAGAAACCTCTGAAAATCAATTTTGGAGACTATCCGGGGCACAATCAAGCAACCACAGCCTCTGATTCATATCGTCCACTAAAATCAGGTAGAACTCGAGCTTATTGTGCTTATTAAATACATTGATGGAAATACCGTGGTTGATCTACAGTGTTGTCTCAAAATACAGCAACCATAGGATGGAGTAGTTCAGGTGGGGAGCTGCGTCAGCATGCGTAGGCTGCAAAGGAACAAGTAACAGGTTTATTCCATGCTGAAAAAAAGAAGAGAGAAAAAACACAACGTTTCGGCCGTGGAGCCTTCTTCAGGTGTGTCTTCACTTCATTTATTTCAGGTGTCTTCACACCTGAAGAAGGCTCAATGGCCAAAACGTTGTGTTTTTTTTTCTCTTCTTTTTTTTCAGCATGGAATAAACCTATTACTTGTTCCTTTGCAACCATAGGATGGGTTTCCTTGGGAATCTCTGCAGTCTTCTCTCTCTGGTATGCCCTTATTTTCTCTACAACTCTACAACTGTAAATTCCAAGCTGGATTTCGAAACCATCATTCTTGGGCACTGTAGTGTAAGTGCAGAGACTGTTTGGTCTCCTTGAATCCTGATGGCCAAAGTTATAACAGTCATTTGGAGGAGGTGAGATCGGTATCCTGCAAAAAGACGCAGTTTTCCACATGCTAAAACAATACCATTAACGTGAGTGTGGGGAGAAAAACATTAAAATGTAGTGCCCCAGTGCAAGTCTGTATTTTGCATATCTGATTTATTTGCACCTGTTAAATAATGTCTTCGAGTTTATTGATCTGTGAGCCGTAAGGTCAAGGCAACCTGCCCTGATGACTGGTGCCAGTACAGTACTCAGGATTCACAGTTCTGCAGAGTTTTAGGGGTCTTATAATTATCATTAACCCAAGAATTAATGGAGTATATGTTAATATTGGCAGACGGATCAATGAATGAAGTAGCTGAAATAGAAGGATTAACAGTCTGTAGTGAAAACTGCTGCCTCATGTTCTGTTTTGTTTTTGTTTTTCATGGGTGCATCGATCTTTAACAGATCCAGTTGTCCGCCCTCACAGGAATGAGAACACCAGCTCTCTCCCAGAGGGGGACACTGACGCTCAGCGGAACCGTGAGAGGATGTCAGCCACTTCACACCGGCTACACTTCAGCCAGGCAGGTCTATCCTTTCCCCAGGCCTGTATCCTCAACTTTCACTTGCAGTTGTGTTATGGGAAACTCATTGAGTGCCCGTATTGCTCATCATCCCCCGTGATTGTATTAGATCCACTTCCTAGAGTTAGAGGCCTTGTCCCATGGTCCTCAGTGTCTGTATCACATGCAGCGTCACTCAACAGAACAGAGATGGGAAGCCAGAGCTTAAAGATAGCTCTGAGTACGCAGGTAAGTCTGTTTCCTGTCAGTGTAGCCTAACAGTGCTGATTGCACTGTTGTGGAAGAGTGTTGCCAATGAACTGGGCATATGGTACTAGAAGCAGTTTTGAACCCCATTTCCTAGATGTTTTCCATATCCCTGACTAATGTGAGAGCTTCCTAACTACATTTGAGCTTCTGTGTGGCCTTGCGTGGCTTATTTCTCACCCTGAAGCTTGGTTTCATACTATTTCTCCATGTGAAAATGGGTGTCCCTGAGAGAATGGAGGTTGTCAATGCAGCACAATTAAAATTCCATCATTGAGGTCTGAAGGTCTCAATTGAGGAATGTAGAGAATATCAACTATCCACAGTCATCCAGCTTTGGAACAGGCATAACCTATCTTGAGCTGAAAACTATCTTGTTATCACAGGCATTTCAATATTTGCAAAACACCCAAAAGCTAAAAGCCATACGCAGGAATACAGAATCGACTGAAGCTGGTGATGCATGGGTAATAGTGTTTAATGTTTCTTAGATTTCTTAAATTTCAAGATCTTGAAACCCTTGCAACTCTGGAAGGGTGAAAGGCCATCTGTGTGCTTCAGCTCAGGGCCAGGGAGCCGGTGGTGCATGTGGACGGCACCTGGGAGAGAACAAGGAGCAGCCTGGAGATTGGGAAGCCCAGCATGGGGAGCCTGTTCTACAGCACCACCTCCCAGGCAGACTACCGGCCACAGCGGGCCCTACGGGTCCGGCCAGCCTCTCAGCCCTCCGGCAGCCTGAGACCATGTGGATACGGTATGCCCTTTTATGACCAGCAGGCATGTCACCCTGCAACTCAGGGCTGGCGGCTCACTGAAGCTCAGCAGGAGTGAGCCTGGTCAGTACCTGGTGGGAGAGCTCCTAGGAAAGCTAAGGTGGCTGCTGGAAGAGGTGTTAGTGGGGCCAGCAGGGGGTGCTCACCCTGTGGTCTATGTGGGTCCTAATGCCCTAGTATAGTGACGGGGACACTATACTGTAAACAGGTGCCGTCCTTCGGATGAGACGTAAAACTGAGGTCCTGACTCTCTGTGGTCATTAAAAATCCCAGGGCGTTTCTTGAAAAGAGTAGGGGTGTTATTATTATTATTTTCAGACCAACAAATGCACAGAGAGACCCTGCAAGCATTTGTGTGCTGGGCTGGGTTTAAGGTCCAAAATCAATACACTGTGAAAAAGAATCTTAAAAGAATTGGATAGAAAACTGTTGCTCATCAGCACTTCACAAATGCAAAACAAGTTGCCAGCAAGAGAAAGGAGTGAGTTCACTAGGTCACTGGTGCTACTGTGGTTCACATGAGTGAGCTCCAGTACTGGGCTATGGCATACATGCATCTGGTGTCCCCATCAAAATCTGTTGATCTGTCAATTGATACCTAGAGAGAGAGAAGCTACCCATGGACTGATGCATGTTATTTGTGTTTGTGAACAGATCGTGGAACTGGTATGACAACAATGCAGAGAGATTATCAACCTCATAAATCCAGCAGATTTATGCTAAATCCATCTCATCTCCACCAGGTATGACACACACAAAAAGCTTTCAGCTTTTAAGGCTGATTTTAAGGCTGATTCATCTCTCTTAGAGATCTGCGTTTTCTTGAATTTCAAAGCCACACTAGATTTTCCAAGGCCTAGTAAAAGTCCCTTCATAGTCCAGTGGTTCTGTACTTTTGACTAACTGCTTAGGGGTAAGACTCCCTCCCAGCCCCCCCCCCCCCAAAAAAAAAACATAAACCGCGTATATCAGAGGTAATCCTCGAGACTTGAAAGTCATGAGGTGAAAAATGTTGTAATCGAAACCGCAAAACCAGTCTCCATAATGCAAAAACGTGATATCCTTTAATTGTCCACCAGGTGGCAGCAGCGTGATGCCACCTCACAAAAGGATTCAGTATCTCAAGCCTAGGTTCTGCCGTCTGTAACTAATGGAAATTGGAGCTGGGCATCTTGATCAGTAGACTGGCGTGATACCCTTGGAACTTAGATATCAGTGATTCTGAGAACATGAAACTAATACATTAAACAAACTTATTCCAACAGTCCAGAAAGGGACGATCTCTTTCTTTGGTGCACATGCAAACTCCACACAGACAGGCACCCAAAGCTGTTACCATACTCTGGGCTTTTTAAGTGATGTGAGCAAACAGGATGAGAGAGATATGTTGTTTTTGTCAGGGTTACATTCAGATATACAGAGATGCAAGAGAGGCAGGGTGGTGCAGTAGTTAGCATTGCTGCTTTAGCACTGGGGTCCTGGGTTCTATTCCTGGGGAACTGTCTGTGTGGAGTTTGTATGTTCTACCCATATTATAATGATAATAAACAACTTTATTTTATATAGCGCCTTTAAAGGTGGCTTCTCAAAGCGCTTTACGGAATGACAACAGCAATAAATAAAAAGAATACACAAGATAAAACACAATTACAATATATAGAGGAGACTGTGGATGGTGGTACTAAGAAAAGCACAGGGGTGAAGAATGGAACCAGTTAAGTATTCATATTCATGTGGGTTTTCAAAGACATACGGGTAGGTTAATCGGCTTCTTGGAAAGCTGGCCCTGATGTGAGCTTGTGCATGTTTGTGTCAGTGCGTCTGCCCTGTGATGGACTGGCATCCTGTCCAGAGTGTATCCAGCTTGTTGATTGCTGGGACAGACTCCACCTGCCCAGAAAAACCAAATGGGACTGAAGTGGTTAGAAAGTGGATGCGGGGGACTACGAGGAGGTCAGAAACGGCTATCATTTCTGAACATTAAGGGGAAACATTGTGTGTTATTATTTACAGATCACTGCTTGCTACATCACTGCCCCCTGCAGGCAGCAGTACTTCACTACCACTCAGAAAGCGGCCTTCTGCCCCAGACCAGTCAGTCCTGCGGCAACACGTCATGAGACGGATCGGAGCAGTACCGTTCCTTTTTAAAGAAAGTCTCACTCTCCAGGCTTTTATAAATAAACAGCAACACATTGAAACTGAGATGCTGAATCGGAGTCTTGTCATGGGCTTCTGCCGGCATCAGTGATATACTGTGAAGTGAACAGCTGGGGAGTGATTTCTGAAATCTGCACAGAAACAGCCCTCCCTCCTGAATTTATTTATTATCCAATGTCTGTGTTTATTCCAAAGGCGATTTCTTGTGTTGTTAGTACAATACATTTAAATATAAATGGGCACATTTCAATATAAAAAAAAATCAGGTGTGGACCGGTACATTTTCCAGAAGAGAAGATAAAAGGATAATATTTCAACAATCTATATCTCGTACTCGTCATAAGCAAACAGAGGAGGTCGGGAGATCATGACTACGTTCACGCATTCTCTTTGAGCTTCAAGCTCTGACATGTCCGTTACTATATGACATCGTGTTGCTTAAGAGTCCGTGTTCTGCAGCTGATAACCCTACACCGCGATAGGACAAAAAGAACACCCATTCGATTGTGCGGGCCTGTATCTCTGGCGCACCGTCAACAGTGTAATCGTACAGTATTGCACGGGCTCTTGTCGGTGCGTGCGCTTTCCCAGATAGCAGGAGGTGACTGTCGGGTACTGATCGCAGTCACAGGGCGAGCAGGCTCTAGGGAAGATAAAAGGATCGGTCTTCATTTATAAAAACAATGCAAACTTACAGACTGTTCAGAACGTCTAGATTTTATATTCATCAAGGTTCCAACTATAAATTCGAAATGACCCCATTGTCTGCCATAGCATTTTCTTGGTAATTCTGATTTAGTTAGTATTTTCCCCGCCTCGATAAAGCCATTGTATATATATATTATACAAACATATATCATTACTCGATTTTTATCTATTAACCCCCCGTCTCTATTATAGACCACTTCTCAAGAAAACAAAACATGAAACAAAGTTAATGAAGCCCTTATTCTTACGTTTAGTTTATGAACATACAAACAGAAAATATGAATGATGAATTTGTTGTGGCTGCGCGGTCTGGGGTTTATTATTACATTTGCACTGCTGTTACTATGAGGTCTGGAACTGATTGTGTGAATAGATGTTTTGAAAATAGTTCATAAAAATCTATACCGAGATTAGATTAGTAGAGTTGTGTTCTGCAATTAACAGTTTCTAGCAATGTACCTTGATTATCGTTATCTTTGTTAGTACCTAAGCAGACACAACCTGATGTGCAGTTAAATACCAAATCAGAGTATATTATGTGAGATTACAATTTTTGTACGATGTAACACACATATGTATGGTGTTTAGGGTTTTGATAAATATATTTCACAATAAAACCTGATTTTGCAACATCCTGAGAACATTACATTTACAATACGGGCAACGTTGTGACCGCTGTAGCTTAAAACTCTAGTAAAGCTCCAAAAATAATCCTGAACGATTCAAATTATTAGTTTTGGATGATTCATTCCTACCCACCGTAATAGTGGGTCCGATGTTATTTAATAAGTCTTTTAATCTATTTTAATAGATAGATACTTTATTGATCCCGTGAGGGAAATTGCAGAATATAGGACTGTGCAGCCCCAGGCATTGGTAACACAGGACTTGTGCTAAAAAGCTGTTATATTGTAACTTAATTTTACGAGTCCGTTTCAAAGTTTAATTAACATTTAAAAACCGCAAAATGATACTCTCAGACCCAACCATTGCAGAGACTCGCCTGTTAGTGTTACAGCCCGTTGTTGAGCTTCTGTTCTGACGTCACAGAGGCGTCACCCTCTGCGCGAGGATTCCGGATAATTTCACGTCTTTAACCGCTGCTGCTGCTGCTTCATTATCAAAGCGCTCTACAGCACTTGGCTGATCAAGCGATTAAAAGTCAATTCAGTATTGATCTTATCGAAAGGTTCAAAGCTCTGTCATGGCATAGAATCGAGGTGCGAAATACGTTTTTAAAACACGTTTTACTAGATTTATTGCAAACATATATTGCCGCATTTCTATGCCAGTGTGTACCTATTTACCAGTAAGATGGGCACGTATGTTGCAAATTAAGGTGAGATAGAGTACTGACAATACAGGGAAGAAAGATCACAGCAGAGCTCTTTAACTAGCTATTAATTTCAGTAACTTCAATTTAACTTTAAAGCCGAGGTTATAAACATATGTAAGGCTGTTAAAGCCCTAAGAAGGGATGTGTTAAGAAGACCTCGAATTAATTTAGTTTCGCTTTTTCATGAGTTCAGTAGGCACGACTGCTGAACAATGTACAGTAACAGCAGCCCGGTCTCCAAATGCGGAACAGCCGCCTTGCTGTGCGGTGTGCTGATTGGCGGAGAGGCCGAGCCCTCCCCTCTCTGCCATTGGACGATGCGCGCTGACGTCAGACGCAGTGGAGGGCTTCGCTCACATAAATGCTTCAAAACCGAAACGTGGTCCAACCCGTTCTGGGCTCTGGGTGTCTGGATAGCTTGTTGGAGGTGTGCAGACTGGAACTTGCATCCCGTCCTTCCGTCACACCGAACTTGCAGAACCACGAAAGGTAGGTAGCGTGAGGCGTAACGCATCTGATACACGTATTCTGTTACTCCAATCCAGGTAACCGAAGGCACAGTATTAAAAAAGCTATAGTCTAGTTCCTGTACTTCCTTTTCCTTATAGTGGCCATGTCAGTAGTACTTTTCTGTGCGAGGAACAGCGGCATCAGGCGCCGTCTAAATGCATTTTCTTTAAACGCGAATCGTGATATTTCAGTCTACAAAGTAAAAGACCCGCGTGTGTCTGAATCAAATCGATTTCACGACTGAGACACAGGCGTCACACAGAAGTGCTTCTCCTTCAGCGTTAACGGCTGTGTAGACTGAAGTGACACCGGTTCCCGCAGCAGATGACAGACCGGACCGCTCTGCTGTGTAGGGTGCGAGCGCACTGTCGCATGTCTTGAAGGAGGACCGCACACTCTTTTTCCAGGAAATGGCTTTCAAGAGCATAAAGAGCTTCTTTCTGGAGCTGGAGGGCCCGGAGGACGCGGTGTACAGCAGCGGAGAGGTGGTCGCCGGCCAGGTGGTGCTGGAGCTGAACCGCGAAGTCAAGGTGCGCTCCCTGAAAGTCATGGCCAGGGGTGTAGCCGTGGCACACTGGCTGGAAAACCGCACCGTGGGCATGAACACCGTCTACAACGACTACACCTCCAAAGAGACCTACTTCAGGAAGAGGCAGCACCTCATCCGAGGTAAGGGAGCGTGTGAACCCCTCACGGTCGACGGCAGAAAGACTCCTGACCCTGTTGGTCCTGTTGTTGAGTGTACATATGGTCGACATGTCTCTTGAACTCGTAATGTAAAACAAGGCCGTTACAGGGGGAAAAAAAAGGAAACCTAAATCATTTCGGTGCTTTGATATTATTCTACTGCGTGAAGCGCATTGACGGTGAGTTAAAAATGTCGTATAACAGCAACAGACTGAAGTGCACTGAATGTTATTAATCATTATTGGATACAACTCGTCAATACGATTTTATATGTTCCACTCTGCAATCCTGTAATCCTTATGGACTAGGCAGTATGTTGGATAGTGATGACAAACAATGACTTGTCTACCTTAACCCTAATTTCTCTACATTGAAACCTCGGTAATGCTTTTCCTAATTCCTAAGTTTCACATTAAGAACCTGTTGTACCTGCACTGCACGTATTTGAGAATTCTCCCCCCCCCAAAAAAAAAATCCAGTCTGAAGAATTGACATGCTAAAAGTTCCCTTTATCCCCTGTTTGCATATATAAGTGGAAATTCAGTTTATCCAAGTAGTTTGCCAACGAAAGGATCATTCCATTCCATGTTTATTTTCTGTTCAACTTCATTTCAAAGGTTGCATAGTTTTATCAAAGCTGCAATACCACAGAGACTCTTGCAAAAGACAGGCTTCTGCTGGGATTCCCTGAATGTGTGCTAATAAGAAACCTAGCCTCCCTGCAGGACCAGAGAAATGTAAATAAATAATGTCACGGTTAATATTTTACTGCAGCTCCAGCATGCTCCGCTGATGTGTGTCATGGCAAACACTGCTACAGAAGGGAGCAACTCTGGGTAAACAAAGAAAATCAACACAAGTACAGATCAGTTCACTTTAAAAAAAAATAAAATAATAATAAATACATTCACTTTAGTTCTAGATTATCTGTGGTGGTAGAAATTTAGTGGGCTGGGGAAAAAAAAGTGTACTGGATTGTAGTTTCCAGAGCTGTGGATCTGTTAAAATGACCATGTGTATTGTTGTACCTCTCTGCCATAGTGTTTAATACTAAACAAAACTGAACCAATGTGGAAAATTCCACACAGCTGGACAGAAGCTAAGGATGTCATCTTCCTGTAATTAAAGTATTACATCCTTCCAAGCCCTGTATGCAACTGGTTGAGGTAATGGTTTCTGCAGATGAGACGGGGAATATCAAGCCAGCAGAGTGTGTTTAGCTCTATCCCCTCTTATAGTAAATGCTTTGTCTGCATGTAGAAGACTTTGATCTGTGTGTTCTGGGTGAACTGGACTTTAGGAAATGCACAGATTCAGCGTTGTGGCCGTGCCAAGACGTAAATGGAAAGGTACAGCATAAATGTTTAACATGGCACTGTCCTACATTGAAGGCTGGAATCAATATTTGTTCTTGGGCCAACCTGATGGGTTTTTTTCCATGGCATGGGACTTCAGATGTTTACAAATAGAAGGGGGCATGGGGGGGACTGATGCCTTTTGTTGTCAAAGATGAGTAGGACTTGCATTTATGCCATGTCGGTAGTCTGCAAAGGGAACAGTTCGGCCACCAGCTCAAAGAACCGTTTCTTAGCACCTTCAAAGGGGTGTATTAGTGCTTTGTAATGAAATACTTCAATTTTCAGTTCTTCCACTTTCACTAAATTGCGGATGGGAATATTGCTTTAGGTATTGGAAATCCTAAATGCATTTTTGTTTTGCCCATTTCCACATACGGTCTTGTCCTTAAAGAGGCTTTGATTCACAATGACCAAATTGGAAGATACTACCGCCCTCCATCATGCATGCGCAGGGGAGACAGTTTAGAGATGCTGTGTCTCTGGGGGAACGGCCGAACTCCATGCAGAGCTGGATTTGAATCCTGGAGCAACAGTGTCCCTTAAAAATGCCACCCAAGCAAAGACTAAGAGCCTTAAATTGCAGCCATCAGCAGCACTTTTTACTCATACAAATCTCCTCTTTGATTTGCATTTCAAGAATCTATTAAAAGCAATGGTGAACCTTTTCCATTATGCAAACCTATAGGAAAAGCAATACTGTCAGTTAAAGACAGTTTATCCTTGACTGGTCCTTTTTTTTTTTTTGCTGAATCTCTAAACGAGAGCGATGGACTTTAGATCTCCACTGTGTTTATTTATCTGACCTGGTTACCCTAAAGATTGTATTTTTGGTTCTGTCTAGGCATCCAGAGTGTACAGTGAATTTAGTGGCTCGCATACTTTCTCTAGTCTTGGGAGTTTTTAATCATTTCTGCTTTTATTGTTCTTCACCCTGTGATTTCCCCCCCCCCCTTATAAATGGGCCTCTGAATAGATTCCCTGGGAATGGGCAGGACAGTTTTTCTACCACATCTTTATAATGCCATCTGTTTCTTAGCACACCTGGGCTTTATTTTAACACTGTGTGGGCAAATGTCCTCTTTTTGTTGAGGCTTCATCTTGCTCATTTGGTATTTCAGGAGTGATTCTAAAATTCTGAAGAGCCTGGAGCTTCTGTCTCCACCACCCAGCTGGGAAGCCAGTTCTACACACCTACAACTGTTGAAAGAAATTTTGTATCGTTTATCCTACAGTAAATTCATTCCTTTTTATTTTCCTAGTGTGAGCCCTAACAACACCACACACACTATACAGATGTGAAATAGTCCCCTGTTTCAACCCTGTCTGTATTCATAACAATTTGGTCTACAAAGATAATCTGCTTTTTTCTAAGATAAAGAAATTAGTTTCCCTTAAATTGGCCGTATGACAATCCTCTGATACTTCCCGCACTTTTTTTTTTCTGTCCTTTTTATTTGATCCTTTTGTATTTGCATTTTTCACCTTCCCATAGTGAGACCTTTGAAATAGGGCAAAAAAGCTCTAATAAATATTGCAGACCCACGCTACTTGGTTGGTTAAATTATTAATGAGCCCCCAGTCACTTTGACTTATACTAACACTGTATTTCTCTTTTCAACCATCAGAAAATGATTTCTCAGTTGTTTTAAAAGCCCGAACAGCGCAAGTTCCCAACAGGAGAACAGTGTGTTTCTGTAGACTGTGTTCTCTGTGTCAAGGTGACGATATGGGCTTGGGTGTGTTTGCTTGCTGCACCCAGAGGCCTCTCTGCTCTGCTGCCACAGCTGTTCCTGTTTGCTCAGCCTGGAGAGTTTTAAAAAATGCCTCTTCCGTTGCTGGAGAAACTGGGCTGTAGCACATGGTAGTGTGGTTTTGTTTCCTGCAGATAGTGACCTGAAACCTTGACGTGCTTCCTGCTGTAGGAGATGTGTGTGTCGAGTTTCATCTTGCCTACCCAAGATAATTTGTATGAAAAATGTTAGAGGGAAGGGGCGTCCCTCCGGCGACTGAGTTCTTTCAGGATTCACTCCAGATTAGGTCTTTAATATCAATTTATTGGTTAAAAAGAGGCACAGCAAATGCTTAAATGCACTTCACTCTAACAAGCCCTAGTTGTCATCTCCTTCCGAGAAGGCTTCATTGAGGACGAGCCGTGCACTGGAGCTCCGATTTGTTTGTCGCCGTCTTCTGAGCCCCCTCTCTTGGCGAAAGCAAACGTTTTTAATTACGCTGTTCAACCAAAACCAAACGGGCTATTTTGATGGATTTAGACTGGGAATGTGAAGTATGTGTTCCGTTAAAAAACGAAACAAAATAACCAATGCAAGCTTGCAACGTGCCGAACCCAAAAGTGGCGCAATGCTGTTGGGGAAACCCTTAAAGGGCCGCCGATATGGGCGTTGCATCCTCTGACGGACACTGACTGTTTTCGTTGGTGAAGCAGTGTAGAGACGTGCCGCTAAAAACGTTCTCAACTGCACAGTACTACCGCAGATGAGCCAGATGCGGGGGTGTGGTGAAACGGGAACATCTAGCAGGTTAAGATAAGCAGGCAAACACGCGCCCCAGTGCACGCACACTCTACACTGCAAGTTCCAGCTGGGGATGGGGCACACCACACACGTGGATGGATATTGGCCACATATCGCTGCACAGCAGCCGGCGGTTCTGTTTCGACTTTGTTTGCCGGTATCGGAATGTTTCTGGTGCTTCAGTTATCCCTCTAACTCTTCATGTACCAATATTTTTTTTTTTTAATCTGAAGAGGCTAGCAAAAACTAGAAATTCAAAACACCCTTGGGGCAATTTGTGGGGAAAAACATGGGTGTTGGGCATCTCATGTCCATCTTCTAGATGAAGTGATTTTAACCAGGCATACAGGGCTGAGCTGTGTAGTTAAAAGTAAACATTTTAGAAGAAGGGATGCCATAAAAACATGGTAATAATGCACTAGTAAGGCCTCTCTTAGAATAATGAAGACCTGTTTGGTCTCTGGGATTTGTGCAGAGAAGCGTAAAAATATCCATTCTGGGGTTTCAAGGAGTGTCCTACACTAACAGACTGAAGGAACACAAGCCTTTGAGTCTCGTGGACAGGAGACTACAAGGGGACCCGATACAAGGATTCAAAATCCTTAAAGGCATTTTGACAAAGTCAGAACAAACACTGAAACGCAAACCACAGGACACAACTGGAAACTGTGTGGAAGAACAGGAGGCCACTGCCTAATGGGCTGAAATGGCCTCCTCTTGTTTTCTAACTGTTCTGCTGGGCTATCTGAGAATTAAGGCAAATGGGAGGTATGTTGGCATCTCCCTATCCTCATTGAAAAGGTGTCATTGCACTGCCCGTTTTAGAACGGGCCAAGAGGATTATGTTGAAACGCCCTCATAGCAGAAATGTCTAATATTTGTACAATTTGATAAGGACTAAATTATTAATCCAAATCGTGGGGGCCCCTAATGACTTTGGACTTGCCTGTGTTTTAACTGGCATTTTTGTTTCCTTGTTGTACTTTACTCTTGTTGCCTTGGTCCTTAAGAGACCTGTCCAGTCAGCTGAGTAAATGGGTAACCGTGTTGCTGGGATAACTCTTCAATCTTTCATCCATCCCAGAGAGTGAGTCATGCATCCAGTCTGCTTAACACTACTATAACCACAACAGCGCTGTGCTGTTGTTGGCTTGTGTATGGCCTTCACATTTCCGAGTTGTATTTGAATGACGGTTTTCAGGAAACTGTTCTGATACCTGTAGGGGGCGGGAAGAAACAACTTTGGTCGCTGACAAGGTCTCTGACTTTCCCAGCTGTTTTCCGATATTGCAGTTCTTTACCTTGGTCTTGCCTGTTAATTCTTGGGTGGGGAAAAATGCCCCCAATAGAGGAAGAGCATTTGTTACAAAGCTCAAAAGGTCGTGAATGGTCTATTTTTCTGTACGAGAAGTAAGCTGATTTTTTTTTTTTTTTTTTGGTGCTACTTTGGTCTAATGTAATACTTGGGGGGTGCTACTCATCTTTGCCAGCACTTGGTATTTGCAGTACAAATGTTCTATGCAGGGCAGCATGGTGGCCCAGTGAAATTACTGCTTCACAGTGCTGGGGCCCTTGGTTTAATTCTGGATGTGGGGTCCTGTCTGTGTGGAGTTTGCATGTTCTCCCTGGATTTGTGAGGGTTTTTACTGGGTGATCCGGTTTCTTCCAACAGTTCAAAAACATACTGGTAGGTTACTTGGCTTTTGGGAAAGTTGGTCCTGGTGTGACTGTGTGTCTGTCTGCCCTGCGATGGACATGCTGTATCTAACTGCTTGAAATGCAGTTTACTGAGAGTGGTGTGGTTAGATTTTCAGGTTGGTTGATTGGAAAAAGCTGGGTTGAAATATTTAGGTTAATGCATCAGTGATCCCAAAGATCAATGAGGAAAACTGTAGATTGAAGAGTTCTTTTAGTTTTGGTGCATATTCTGAGATCTGAGGATTGCTTTGGCAGAAACTTAATGCAAACTAAAAGTTGAGAGCAACTGGTTCTGAACAGAACCTTCACATTTAGGCACATGTTGTCGGGTTCAGACTGTACCGAATGTGTTTGGCAGTAATGTGAACTCTGTGTACACAAGAGGGCGGGCTGTGTATGACTGTGAGGGAAAGTTATGCAGACAACTGGAGTTCCTACTCTTTCGAGGCGTTTGACTGCTCGCAACCACAAGGTGGCGACACTCCATAGTGCTACCGTTTCAGCCGAGAGAAGTAAACAACCCCCCCCCCCCAAGGTCTAGAGATGTTCATTTCCTTATTTCGGTTAGCTACACAATTTTGAAACAATACGTTCCATAATTAGAATAGCTCAATGTAAGTAAATCGCAAACCCAACACTGCTGTACATTTTAAATCGCTGCATAATTCTAACAAGAGTTGATTCCTCAAGAGAACATAACGTGCCTTGTTCAAGATCTTTGGTCTAGAAAAGCATTTTATTTCTACTGTTAAAACCCTGAACTAAAGATAGATTTGTTGCATATCGGTGGGGGGGGGGGAGTTTTTTTTCGTTTTTCATCTTTTCTTCTCGTCTCCTGGTTTCTTTTTTTTTTTTTTTTTTTACTGGTCAAAATAAAAGATAAACCGACCGCATCTAAAATAAAAATTATTTTAAAGTGCCTGCCTACTCCGACATTTTCTTTAAATGGAGGGGGGTGGAAAAAACTTTGAATACAGCTGGGAACCCTTTAGTCCCAAGAAAAATAACAAGTCTCAGGGCATGCTCAGTCAGCTTGTTTTGCTGAAAACCTGGATCCATCAATCACCCGTTCCGTCTCCACACCCAGGGAAGATGTTTATTAGCCAGCAACAGTCTTTTCGCCTCGGGCCTTACATAATAAATTCAGAAGGACCGCCCCTTGACAGCGTGTTAAAGGTGCTGGGACAAGCCCTCTCCGCTCAGTTTTGTTTTGCAAGCTCTGTGAGCAAGAAGCGGCTCCCAGCCTCGTTTATTAAAGCGCCGTACGCGTGCAGCGAAGCGAGCACAGACCTTGACCAGCTCGCCCGGACCTTGAGCCGCAGAGATGATCTTCGACAAAGTGAAAAAGTTTGACATCGTCTTCGACTCGCCCGAGGTGGACTGCCCGCCGGTCTTCAGCAGCGGCGACGTGGTGTCCGGCAAAGCGGTGCTGGAGCTCGCCGGGGAGACCAAAGTGGACTCCATCAAGCTGCATGCCGAAGGGTTCGCCAAAGTGCACTGGACCGAGTCCCGCAGCGCCGGGTCCAGCACCGCCTACACGCAGAACTACAGCGACGAGGTTGAATACCTGAACCGCCGGGAGGTTCTGCTGCAGGCAGGTCAGTCGAGCTGTCACTGAGCAGCAGACACTCGTGGGTCGCTTCTGCCTGCGCGTCCGGGGGCTGCGCTCGTTTGCCCGCAGCAAATAATCGTCTCTCCAAGACAATGGGGTGTCTTGTTAATTGGAGTTGCGTGTCCCAGGTCACGTATTTATTTGCCGGACCTCGCAAGTTAAGTGCCCGATCTTATCTTCTCTCTGTGTTTTTAGTTTCGGTACAGATTTTTCGGGGCTTTTTGGACTTTCGGCCCACCTTAAGGCGTTTCAAAGGCCTTTTTTTTTTAAATTGTGGCATCAACAAGATTTGTTTTTTGTAACGTATGTGGCAAAAGGCTTTGTATGGTTTGATAACGCGCAAAATCCAGAAGAACTGATAACCAGATTTGGAGAAGTGTATAGTCTTGTGTCCATTCCTGGAGATTATGTCCGAATTCAAGGTGTTTTTTATATTGTTTTTAAAGCGCAAAACATTTTTTAATTTAATGGTATATAGAAGTATCCGCATTGCAATTTATGAAGTTATGAAAACTGCTGGCTTTGCACAACCGAGAATGGTTATAACAAATGGATATTTTTTTTTTTTACCAAAGATCCAAAATTGTTTAAAATACACCAGTAGAATAAAAGGTGTGTTAAGATGGTTTGTCCTTGTTATTAAAACCCAAAATAAAATGGAGTAGAATTTTCTGTAGTATTTAGCTGCTAATAACTAGAGATGGATAAAGCATTTTGAAGACTACTACATGTTCGTGACGGATCGCTTTGTGTTTTGAGAATTATTGATTCAAGATCACTTGGTCAAAGTTTGGCACCAGACAAAAGCACTTTCTTCGCTGGGGCAGTATTATCAACCAGCATTACCCGTGAAGTTCTTAAATTGCACTGTCCACGCTGTTCCAAGAGCACTGCCTTCAAATGTAAACAGGCAGAAGTGTGAGCTGTGTGTTTTGAGAGTCTGAAGCCCTTCCATCTGCTCCTTGGGAGTAACGGCAGTGGAAAAGACCCAATTCTGTCCCAAGAATTGCTTCTGGATACCCTGACCACATAGATGGGCTCATCTCTGACCATATATGGGGGAAAAACTTGCATTTAGTTTTATAATAAAAGCAGCATAAATCAAAAGCTTTTTGAATTTTGTTTTCCCAGATCACGGTGATCTTACTGTGCTGGCGGCTGGAAGACACGAGTTTCCATTCAGCTTCCAACTTCCTGAGGAGTAAGTGTGTGCACCGATTCGCTCCTACCATGCCCTGGGCTTTTCAATGTTGTGTTTCAGTGTATTTATAGTGTGCAGTTCCTCCTCACACATGCCCACTGAAAACAACTAGATTCTCGAAAGCCAGTGTGGGTTTGTGGTAATGCACCATCTTTCAGGCCCTACAGAATGTGCTCATAAGACACGGAAGTAAAGTCTGTGCATATCAAGTGCTGAAACGGATATTCATGATTTTATTTTATTTGTTCTTGTTACTAGGACCCTAGTGACCTCCTTTGAGGGCAAACATGGTAGCATTCGTTACTGGGTGAAAGTGAAGTTGCACCGCCCCTGGGCCACAGTGAGGAAGATCAAGAAGGAGTTCACGGTGATTGAGCCCATAGATATCAACACCCCGTCCCTACTGGTAAGGACTGCCGGACTCTTCTTGTTCGTGTTCCCTGTCTCTCCGTGCCCACCCCAAACGTGCAGTCTTTCACTTTCTCCTCTTCCCATCACAGGCCCCGCAGGCTGGCACCAAAGACAAGCTGGCGAAGGAGGTGTACCACAATTTTGGCCAGGTGTCGCTCACAGCCAAGATCGACCGCAAGGGCTACACACCAGGTAGGGAGCTGGTGGTTTTTTTTTTTATCCTTGGTCCCTTTTAGGATGGCGTCTCTCCAACTGGAGTTCCCAGAAATGGGAAAAGTTAGCGGGCAGACGTTTCTCTCGGGCATGAGTAGCTCATTTTGTTTTACCTGGGATCCCAGGGCAGCTAGGAGACCCATTGAAAGTGGAGACTGATTTCAAAACGGGTCAACCGGCTGACATGTTGAGAACGCCCCAGGTTTGAAATGCCACCGTGCTGGTCTGGATTTCAGCATCTCCTGACCGCTTTTCCCTCCTCCTGCAGGCGAGGTGATCCCCATCTTCGCCGAGTTCGACAACGCCACGTCGAGGTCGGTGGTGCCCAGGGCCTACATCACCCAGACCCAGACCTTCATCGCGCGGGGAACCATGAAGCAGAAGAAGGCGATCGTGGCCACCCTGACGGGGGACGCGGTCGGCGCCAGGAAGAGGGAGACGTGGCACGGCCGCGCCATCAAAATCCCCCCCGTGGGGCCCTCCATTCTGCAGTGCCGCATCATCAAAGTGGAATACATGCTGCGGGTGAGCGGCCATCAGCGTCTTGCTGTCCAGTCCAGCTCAGTGTTTCAGAGAGGGGGGGGGGCGTCTTTGAAGCTGCATGATCAGAATCAAGACTTCGGTCATTGAGCGATGCACACAACGCCCAGTAATCGGCTCTCTGCAGATCTTTGTGCCTGCGCTAAAGAGGGCCCCAGTCCTTCGGTTGGGATCTGGCGGGTCTGACGGCGACGGCCTTGTCCCGACAGGTGTGCGTGGACGTCCCGGGCACCTCGAAGCTGTCCCTGGAGCTGCCCCTGGTCATGGGCACCATTCCGCTGCACCCCTTCGGCAGTCGCACCTCTAGCGTGAGCAGCCAGTACAGCGTGAACCTGGAGTGGCTGCGCCTGGCCATCCCGGAGCAGCCGGAGCGTGAGTGCACATTCCTCTTCTCCTGGACCCTGTCCCGCGCAGGAACCAGACCTAGGGGGCCGTTTTCCTTAAGTGAGGATAACGTGGAGCAGGTCTAGTTCCTAGTCATGTGGCAGCTCCCAGCTGGCAGCCCCACTGGAGCTCAGCAGGAGTGAGCCTGGTCAGTACCTGGATGGGAGACTCCTGGGAAAGCTAGGATGTTTCTCAAAAAGAGTAGGGGTGTTATCCTGGCCAAATTTCCCCCCTGGGCTTTACCAATCATGGCCTCCTAATAACCCCCCTCTCTGAACTGGCTTCATCACTCTGCTCTCCTCCCCACTGAGAGCTGGTGTGGGAGCGGACTGGTGCAATCTGGCTCTATCGCCTCATCCCGGTGGGGGCTACACACTGGTGGAGGGGATCCCCATTACCTGTAAAGCGTTTTTAGTAGAAGTTGAAAACCATTCAGTCCACAAGCTGGTGGGAAGGAATCTTTCTGCACTGACTCTGTCTTGGCAGTGGGAGTAGATGAAAGATGGAGACGATAGCAAGAGGACTCAGATCTGTTTCTCTCTTTGTCTTGCAGCTCCTCCTGATTACAACACCATCGTCTCCGAAGAGGAGGCTGAGCAGAACATGACCCCCCCACCAGTGGAGGAAGACTTCACGGGGATCCTGGAGCGTCCCTTCTTCGCCTATGTTCAGGAGTTCCGCTTCAGACCGCCTCCGGTTTACAGCGAGGTGAGCCCCCCCCCCCGATACACACAGACCTGTAGGGAGGAGAGCATGCTGGACACCCTTCAAGGCGACATGTGCCTCGTTTCCCACTCCAGCTAACTTCCCAAACCCAGCAAGGAAAAGCAAAACCCATTCCTGCTTTTTTCATATTACACAGTTTACAAATATGCATTTACTGAATATAGCTGGAGATGGCCAATTTGTGTTAGACAGCTTTTAACCTTTTCCTGTTTTCAGACTGCTTTGTTATTTCTAATACTGTGACTTTTCCCCGTATGACTTGGGCCCTTCTTTTAGTTTCCTTTTAAATGCAAAGTACAGAGAAACTACGCTGAGCTCCATAACTTTAAACCGAAAACCCAAGATATAGAAAAAACACTGAAGTAGATCTGAGGCTTCAAATTGAACAGTTTTTTTTAACCTTACTCTTTTTTTTTTTTCCCCCAGATTGATCCCAATCCCCAGCTGTACAACATGAGACGTCGGTGCATGACGTATTGAAGGAAAAACACCTTTTCCGAACGACACACGACCTGAACACGTTACAGGGTTTTCTCCCGGATTCCCCAGTCCAGAGGATGGATGGAATCTGGCTGTTCCTCCAGGAGGACTGGAGCAAGGAGGAGGAGGATTGTCTTGACATGGGGATGGCCTGGGATATCTTTAAAAAAAAAGAAGTCCTTGCGGTCCTTACTCATCCTCTGCGATGACTGTAATCCCAGTCCTCTGAGCTCTTCTTTGCTGCAGCAAACGGTTTACAAACCCGACACTGTTAGGATGGGGGAAGAAAAATGAGCAAAGGAGGCTTAAAAGGGATGCTACTCCAGCAGTGCCTGATCAGCTTGGCTGTCCTACCACTAGCTTGCCATTGGCTTCTTGATTACATGACTGTAAAAATGAACTGTTGACGTGGTTTGCTTAGTGAAGAAACAAATTATTGCAATCTGTCCAGGACTGAACGAGCCCTAGGTTTTAATGATCAAGCCCTGTGCTGGACAGGGTTGAGCAGGAGTTACAAGCATTTTCCTGGATGCCTTGAATACCAGTGCCACAGTTTTCTGTAAGCTTCATTGTGCAGTGTCCACCTTTTGAATGTGCAAACCTGTAATCTTGGTGTTCGGTCTAGTTTTGTTGAGGCGTCAAGGGTAGACCAGAGCACACATTTGTACCTGTGAAATAACAGCTTTATTTGCCATGGAGTCAGAGGCAGTCTCACCTGTTTGCCCAGAAAAGACAGACAAAAGGCAGGCTTTGAGATTTAAAAGGTGGTTGTGTACTAAAAACAATGGAGTTAGGGTTTGAGGAATTGATGGCATTTCACGTTCTAAGGGCTAGGACAATGTAAGGACTACTGGAAATCTGCAGTCTGTAAACTGTAAGTGAGGAGAAAGCGGTTCATGACTTTGCATGTGAAGGTTTAAAGTTTAAGGGTAATGCACGACTTTGTTTTCCACATCCTGTCTCTGCAAGAAAAGAAAATCTAGTTTATCTAAATTGTGCTTGACTTGTGAAAGTTGCCAAAGATGTTGCCTTGTTCTGACCCTTCCCGTAGTGTTGAAGGGAATGTCCAGTTTCAAGCACATGTAGTTTTATTAGCAGATGTACTGGAGGAAATATGAGCCATATGGTTGGTGCTTTTACACCAGGAGGCCTTATTTTTATACAGAGGAGGGTTCTATACAATAGAACTACAAAAGTGGGTACATAAAGATCTTATTGGCGATACCACTCTTAAGTGTGCTCCTGTAGAACATTCCGAATTGTGTGAGAACATTCTGTTTCCTAATTGTAATGGAAGTGACTTGTGACCAGCAGTGCCTATGCAAATGGTGGGACACAGATCACCACAATCCTAAGAATGTATTTTCTATGTTTCTTGTATACATGTATTTCTTAACTTGCCAAAAATTTATATTTTGATTATCATTTTTTCTAATAAAATTAAAGAAGTCGTTCCCCCTGGTATTCTTGGAGGTCAAAGAGACCCCTGTTTAGATTTTAGTTGAGAGGTTAAGGGCTCACAGGAAACTGATCATTATGGGAAAAACTTACATATTTCTGGTGAGTGTTGTGACAACCTGTAGCTTATGGCAGAAGCATCCACCCTGTTTGGGACAGCAGTCAGTTGCACAGAACAGGCAAGCTGCACACAGAAAGTGGTGCGCTCCAGAACCAAGCTCCAGTGTTGATTCAGCAGTGCCAACAGCCATCCCAGTGCTGCTGTGGTTGTGAAACCTGTGAAAAGAAATGCAAGCCTTACTCCTGTTTTCATCCGATACAACCAGACTTCAAAATAAAGAGGTGGGGTTTGCTTCCCCAGTAATTAAGGTATTAGCTTAATGTGACATGGATTGTTGTAGGGGGAGAGAAGTGTAACAGTTTCTGCAGTGATACCTCAGATATACACAAAGATCTCATACTACTGTAGCCCAAAAGAAGCTGAGTGTTAGTAGATATGATAGTACTCCTACCACCTTGCACAGTAATTGTTTATTAGAATTGGTGCTTTCTATTAGCAAACCTGTGACCCAGTTGAAACAAAGTGAAACACACAACTCTAAACTGCCTTGAAATGGCTTTTCATTGCAGAGTCTGTTCTAGAGTGCACTGGACTGCAACTGTATCCCAGCTGGGATGCTCACCCATTGCTGGTTTCCCCTAGCAGTTCAGATATGTTTTCACAGCTGGGTGGGCCGGGTCAGTCACAGTTGTTTCTTGCAAATGATACAAGAGCAAGGGGCTTGAACCCACAACTTTCCAACTCAGAGCCCTGGTCTCAAATCAGTACTACATGCTGATTATGAAGACAGCCATGTACTAAAAATATTTTTACACAGTACACTCCCTCGTTATTTTCTTATTTACAAATGCTAATTTGTTTAAAACAATTTGAACAGACCTATATAGGCTTAAATGCCGCCTTCTGGATTAAACCTGTGAAAGCTTTCAAGGTGTAAAACAAAATTTAAAAAGATAGCCTTTTAGCCATTAAGAGTAGGGTACTTAAGCTCGTACAGTATATCTACAACTGAAACCCCTTGGGCTTTCAAAGATGCTCTACTTGTAAGTTTTCTGGTGATGGGAGTTTATTCCTTCTATCATCACAAAGTACTTTTTCACATTAAGACTGAGAAGAAGGGTTTAGTACAAGGAAGGACTAGGTCATGAATAAAACACTCTTATAGGACACACACCCAAAGGGACAATTTAAATCCTCCTAAATAAACAAAATCAAGCATCTTTAAAAAGGGGAGCACCCTGGAGCACTTGGTGAAATCACATCAGACCATACAAACTCCACACAGAAGGCACCTCCATCGCAAATCAAAGCCAGGAACCAAGAGCTACAAGGCAGCAGGGTTAAACATCATGTTAATAGGCCACGTGGAGTTTCTTGTTTTCTTAGGGAAAAAAAAAATCAATACAGCATTCACTTTATTGGTTCCCAATAATAAAGAGATTGAGTAATCTTTCGACACTCAAGCCTGTCAGTAACATTTATCCTTAAATGCCCTTTTTAAATTCACGTCACGTTATTAGCTTGCTATTGCTCATTGAGATGTCACCTGCCATGATTTCACGGTGAGTCATCACTGTGACTGGGTTTCTTCAGGCTGGAGTTTTTAAACAGAGGCATTTAGCTGCCGGGAATCCTCTTCATCAAACTAATAATAGCACAGAGGAAAACAGGTACACACCAATCTCAATGCTACAGTTTGCATATTCATAAATCCCTCAACAGTGATACCTGTGTTTCCAGCATGAAACAAACCCTTAACATCCCCAATTTGACCACACTACATCTTAACAATGCAATTCCCATTGAATCTGAACATGTCCAGCCACATTACTGACATTAGCTACAGTGGCTTGTGGACTTAATAAAACTCCCTTTAGCCTATGTCACTGAGCAGTGACCATTGTTTCCTGTTTGAAACGGGGATTAAAATGAAATGGCAAATGAACAGTTTTATATAAAAGAGTTACACAAGCCGTGTTCGAGCAAGCGAAAAGAAATGAAAGAAAATTCAACTTTAAGATGCAAAAACAAGCAGAAAGCAACTGTTGTGAGCGATACAAATGTTTTGTATTTTCAATTTCCAAGCAAAGGCCTGATTCTCTTTAAAGAAAAGAATGTTATTGACACCCAATTAGGAACACATACAGGACACGCACCCTGTTTTTACAAGAAAGCACACATTGTGGTCTGTGAAGACAGGACCTCATTTTCCTAACCAGAAATAAAGCTTTAACTTGCCCATTGCACAATCACACACGAGCTGAAATACCCTTGAAGCTGAGGGATATTATATTCTCTGGTTTCTTTCAGAAGCAGATGTCCAAGAGCTGACTCAGGCTCTCACGAAGAGTACATGATGAACCGTTCACTTTAAGAGCGGAGCGCACTGTCCTGCTCTCCAGGATATACTACTATTACACCAGCAATATCAGATAATATATATTAATGTAGATAAGAGAATCCCATTAATGTAGGCAAGCCTTTTCAGGGGTGGGCAGATTCACAACATTCCCAGTTTAAAGAGAATAAAAACACCCTTTTCCAGCAGCCAGTTTTTCCTTAGAGAAAACAATGTTGGTGCCCAACCTGGCAGGCACTGGGCAAGACCACAGTGGGTGGGATGCCAGTTCTTTATAGGGCACCTGCATCTTCCCTCACATACAAGTATCAGGGGGTCTCCGACTTGTAAAAATCACTTACCGTCCTTATCCATTCTTTAGATGGACATCTGTACCATAACTGAAGTCAGGGCTCATCAGAAATCCTTTTCCTAGTGTCTTAACTGTATGGGAATCCTACAGCTTTCACACCTTAAAAAGAAAGTGAAAGACACAAATTTGAACAATTTGAATTTGACAAGGCAATTTGTCGCATTTTCTGAGTTTTGTAACCATCCATTTTTGTCCTTCATCTGCCAAGTTCTCCTTAGAGGAATCCACAATTTGTCAAATAATATCAAAACGTACAAACCCCAGGATGTTTAATCTTTGCGGAGTTTGAAAATAGATATTTTTAGTGCTTAGAAAGAAGCCCGAAAAACAAGAGGCAAACCTGGCTGGTATTTTTTGTCAGCCAGGAAATATGTCTGCTCTTTGAGTGGTGACTAAAGCCGTTGAACCGCTGGACCTTGGTCACTCTACACCAGGAGCCAGGAGGAAACTCCACACGTAGACGCTTCTCTGATGTTCCCAGTGATTAGCATATTTACCTCATAGCTGCCTTCTGATGGTAGTCAGCATGAGCCAGGCTGCAGCATGCCCTAGGAGAAAATGAATTTGAAAAATGAAAATCACACACTGACACTAGCATGTAGGCCTGGATTACATCAAAACTTCGCCTTGCCTACACATCACAGTTCACCAACTCGGGAGACTTCTTCTCAGTTTCACAGAATATAGAATTTAAGTTATATCATATCATTGTATATGTTATTTCCCAGTTGAAAACAAAAAAAAAAAACTACAGTTTTTGGATTGGATTTAACCTGGGTTTATGTGAATTTTGGTGGTTTAAGACTAAAGGATGTTACGCAATCAAATAACTGGATTTTGTTTCGGTCAGAAGTACAGAACAAAAGTACAGCTCGGATCCCTGAGCCTTTTTTTTTTAAGCTACCACAGTATCCAAAAACTTGTTTTGCGTTGGTGTAAATCAACCCACAGAACTACAAGGAACTACAGGAATCACATCTTTACACAAGTACCTCTGCCAGCTCGTGGAAGCTGATCCCATGAGTGGAGTCCAGAAAGGGCCGGATCAATTGCGGATTAGCAGCCGGACAAGCTGGGTGGAATTGCTTCGTCCGGTTGATCACCTTTCTTCTGTTCTTACGCTCTAGAGTGGGCGATACCTACATGACAAAAAGAAGCGAGACATGCAGACAAAGGCAAAACAGACTATAGCTCTTGCAAGAATTGCAAATGGTACAGTTTACCACAGCACGAGCGTCACCAACTATACCTTCTAACACAGCTTGATCTAGCTGTTTTTCCCTGCCTTTATTGGCCTGGTCTCTTCGGGATTGTGAAATCAACAGAAAATAAAGTTAAAAAAAAACAACATTGCGCTCGGCCTACCAGTAAAGTTTGTCAAGGCTGTTGAGGGGAAGCTCCCAGCCCTACAGTGTTTGACTTGTTCGCGTCCTGACTGTACGACCCTAGCCACGCAGACTGTAGCAGTGAAATAAGCCTGCAGATGCTTTCCTTCGAATCTTCATGTTCGTCAGGGCTGCGATGATCTGGAGGTTGCATGCCTCTTTACGTTACAGGTGCCATCCCTACCGAGGACACGAGGAGAACTGGATATCATACATGACATATCTTCTCAGCAATTGTATCTGTTGAATTCCCACAGCGATTTGAGCACAACATAAACGGGAGACCACAAAAAAAAACAGCTGCTTTTAATGCCCAATATTTGGACAGCAAAAACCCACATTCCTCTTTAAGTGCCATTGGAGAAAAAAGAAAAGAAAATTGAATTGAAAAGAAAAATCTTTTTTTTTTTACTTCATGCTTTGAAGGCAAACATTAGGAATAGGACGAGACTTGTTTTTAATTAAGTCTCATTTGGAAGGCAAATCTTCACCTACGGTTAATACTGCTTATGCAACGCTATTCCGGGAGCAGATGGGTTGAAGGAGCACTGGGAAAAGATTCGAGTGATCGGAAATCTTCGGATGCTGGATCGCACTCTTCCCAATAGCTCTCCAGGATTTTCACTGACAACCACCAGCTTCTCTTGGGGACACCAGAAAAAGGGCTATCTCACCCGTAACTCTTACTGGGGGTGTCACTTCTCTCTGGCTTCCCCCCCCCCCAGTTTGTTCTGCAGTCTCAGGGCAAAACCGGACTTAAGCAGTTGATTTAGATCTTAATAAATGTGATGGAGATACACAGAGGGTATTCGGCATGATTCGCTTAGCCGGGGGAATGGCAGCCTAGCTGTGAGACCTCCCCTCACTACGGCGAGGAATGAGCCAGGGAGCAGCTGCAGCAGTGCAGGTGAGGAAGAGGTAGGGGGATGAGAAAGACCCACAAAGGGATTTCCTGGGTGTGAGACAGGAGTGAGAGGAAGAGTGCGAGATTAGGATCCAGCCTTAGTCCTCCGTGATAAACTCCATTTGGGGAAAAAATAATGAGGAACGCTGATGGGTTTTCTCTTAACCTGTACCGGCATCTCAGAACAAAATAATTTCAACACCACCCCCATTCTCGCCATCAGCCCGAGTACAAGTTGCCTCCTGCTCTCTGCCCCCTGCTGGGCCAGGCTGGGGCCGAGGAGCCTGGTCATCCGAGGCTCTGTGCCTTGTGGACTCCAGCCGGGAGGGAGATCAGTGTGCTGCTCCTCCAGCCCCGCTTCATGGAAAGCTCTGGGACTTCAGAGAACGCCAGGCAGACAAGCAGCCTCTTTTAGCAGCAGCTGCGGTCGAGTGCCAAGGGTGTTCTCCGAAGTCGTACCCAAAAATATTCTGGGCAGCAGAAAAACAGGATGGCGCTTTTAGGAAGCAGCTGAAAAGCATGCCATTTCCTTACACAAATAACAGATGTCTTCTTCTCATTTGATCTAGAAGCACACAAATGGAACTATTGGCCCTACACAGACCAAGTGGGATGGGGACGGTACCCTTTCTAACCATCTTATTTAGAGAGCGATTCAGTGCTATATTGGTGGATGAAGTAGGACAGGATGCCTCCTGCTACATTCGTGCAATAAAATCATATTTAGTGTCACCAGTCCATCCCCGTATCCTCAAAGTGCTTCAAGACAGATCAGGCTTTTTAATGGAAAAAAATGAAAATGTAAATTATGCACTACACCTCTACGACAATGAATTTATTTACTTTGCTTGCTATACAATGCAATACAAATAACACTGGATGTTTCCTATTGCCACTATCAATCAGGCTCATCAGTCAAGTGACTGCAAAACACAGTGATCCATTAATCGATTAACCCTAAGATGCAGTGCACTTTTAAACACTCAAAAGACTAAAAATAAACCAACAACAAAGTAACAGGAACTATTTAAAATCATCTGAAAAGCATTTAATACTACGTGCATTTCATAAAAAACATCCTAATGTCATTGCACAATGTCATATTTCCACTCACAAGCGCAACAATTTACAGAATTTCTTGATACCTGAATCATCACCACAATATAAAACAGGCCAAAAACGAACCAACCTTTAGTCTAGATAAAGAACTGGGGGCTCAGCTGGCATGAAAAAGAAGTGATCGTGTTTCCCTCAGGACCATGACTGGAAACTAATGCCATAAGCGATCAGGACCCTGCCGTCACCCAAAATATATTGGGGTTTTGGCCAGAGGTTCAAGATCTTATTTGTGCTGCTATGTCATTGTGTCATTGTAGTTGTACAATGTATCCCAAGTGGACAAACTGGTTTTTCTGAGCAACGTGCCTGATTAGCTGTATGTGCAAGAGCTTTAAATAACTTGTTTTTTTTGTTCTGACATTAACACTGTTGTTATGTTCTTGGAGCAGAGTTCACCCACGACCTGATTAGGAATTATTATTGCATTTACTTAAGAACTGTTGCTAATCTAACAATGACAAAATCAGAAGCAACAAGCCTGCATCAAGCTATGCAACAGTCAATTTTGTTATTTAGATTCTACAGATTTGCATATTTATCCTTTTCTATAATGCAGTGCTAAATGTTGCAATTTGAATGCACAATGTGTTACGCCTTACTTATCTTTACTATGATCAAGGCTCGTGATCTTTAATTAGGAATGAGCTTATCCTGTGTTTTTTTTGTGAGATTTTTCCTCTATTTCTTAAACGGGCTCTAAAACAATGTTTCAGTATAAAAATGTTTTCAGGTTGCAGTAATATGAAATGCTTAAGCTGCCAAGCAGTTCACAAAATTACGATGCATTTCAGAAAAGGAGAGATTTCACTAGAGAGTTCTTAGTTTTCATTCAGCAATTGACTCGAAATGCTCCATTACTATATGGCTTCCAAACAATGCCTGCAAAATGCCTTGGATGCAAATTATGGTCTTTTTAAAACAATCTAGGTAGTTGTAGACATTTTGTTGTATAGGAACAGTAAGTGAGAAATGAAGAGCCACATGAGTCAATACACCTGGGGATTCACACCATGTTCTGATTTGCAGAGAGGAACGCAGTGCATGTTATCCAACGCATTACACCAGATGCCGAGTTTCACTGATCTCATCTGGCTGATGTTTTGCAAAAATTGCATTGATCGCAAAGACACTGTGAGCATGGGGCGTCGCCTGGGGCAAGCAAAACAACTTCCCTAGGTTTCAAGTTACAGGGTACTACATGTTCTTTGTTGGATATGAACAGCTATTGTGCAATTTCTCAAATGCATAACTGCACGACAGACAGCGAACCGAGATTCGGAGCAAAAGAACAAACAAATCACCAATCGCAGCGCTTGCCCCTTCATCTCGGAAAATAAAGTTTGACCCTCCCACGGCAATCGCCACATGTCTTCGAAATCGTGACGGCTAATCTGCAGCTCTGGCAGCCTGCCAGCAACTCAGAAGAACAGTCGTGTGCACATCAGAGTACCGAGACACACCAAGGCAGACGCACACTTCGTTGCCACACAATAAACATTAGGGCAAACCAAGAGGCTCTTTCCAGTGTGAAAGCATGCACCTCTTTCACAGTAATGTTGCTTGTCAAGTCTGTATAAAGAAGACGAATTCAGCTCGATCTCACGGTTTTAAAGATATTGCTTAAAAAGATCTGTGCAACAGTGCAACTTACAGTCAAGCATGTTTTGCAGGCAAATACAGAGGATCAGCATTTTAAAAGCAGTGCATCTGCTTCATTCTCTTCTTGGTGGCTGATTTTACAGCATTAGCAATGAACTTTATTTTCTAAAGTGCCCATCGTGTTGTAAAATAAAATCTCGGGGGAAAAAAACAATTTGAAAATGGACTCAGAATTCCTGAACTCACAGGGAAGACTGTTTTGCAGTCCTTGTGCATGGCAGGAGAAGGTCCTGTCACCCACAGTTGAGAGCCTTGCTGAGCAGGCAAGAGACCAACAGACAACCTGAGAATGTAGGCAGGAATGTCATTCTTCTAGATGTCAAAAAGAAAATGGACAAACTTTCTTCAAGGGACTAGAAGCCTTGAGCAATTTCTTTAGAAATGTACAAAATTCGACAGGTTGCCAGTCTGCAGTTTTGCAGTTTGCAAGAACTAATTAAGAGGTTTTGAACATACTGGAGTTCTGCTCTTTGATAGTCCAGTAAGTCAACTTTGGGAGGTTTTCTACAGTGGGCATTAGCTGAGCCAAGCAGTGTTCCTAGGCTGAAGAAAAGCCACACTGTGGGTCTGATTTTGAGCCACATATCCACCACATCACATCAACAAAGTTTTAATTTCGGCACAAAGATCTGGTTTAACTACCACTCAAACGTTTTATATAATCTGCTGTTCTCAGTTGTTGAATAGAAAAGGTTATAAGACGCGTTGTTGCATCTGCACAACTTGTACTACCCACCTCGCAGAGATGACCACTTCTCTAGCCCATAAACTAGTCCAATTGAGTACATTACGAGCGGATTCTGGCCAATAAGAGCCCTGCTGGTCTGAAAGCCTCTCAGTTTTATTTCACTGCTTATTCATCACTCCACAGCAATCTTTCTCTGCCCGTCTCCACAACCACATTTTCTGTGAAAATATCTTTTTTTAGGCCTGAATAAATTTTGCAAACGAAATAATCTATTTTCCCACGTAATCTATCATAACACATCTCTAATGCTTAAAAACATGTTTTCCCCACGACGTGCATTGCCTTATTTACCATTTTTAAAACAAAACTTTATTTGGATTTTCATCAAAATCTTATAACAAGACCATGGAATTAAACCAAATTACGGACACAATTTATTTCAGTACTGTAGTTCAGTCAAACTCTACGACAAAACGACTAGGCAGAATAGCGTACTTGATGCTTCGCCTGGCTGGGGACACTAGAGTTGACAGAGCCTGGGACCGGCTACACAGCGAAGATGAGAGGGAGTGATGGATACAGGATACGCGCAGAATTGCGGGTCTTTATCTGAAGATTGCAGAACTGCGATTTTACAATCTGACCTCCACCCGATCGCCATGCGTTAACTACGGGCTAAGCAGTGCAGAAACGAAAGAAGATCTGGCCAAACACCTTTTCATTGTGCTTGGCCTTTCTGTAATGTTCAACAGTGAGCAAATGCTTTATTTTCGATTAAATCAACTGGCAAGTTCAGTGAAGATACTCAAAAGCGGAGAACGAAACCCAAAGAAAAGTTTGGTAGTTCAAGACCATTACGGTAGCGTTGTGGGGGTGACTTTTATGTAAGTTTTCCTTTTTCGTTTCATAACGATAATAAACCGTTAAAAACACCATCTTGTGATCCAGTTTCAGTCATTGAACGAACAAAAACACGCAGCACATTCAGTGACCCGGACCACATACTTGAAGGCATTAGCACTGGGGATGCGGGGGTCGTTTTTCTTTTGAACCGGGTTGTACAGCTCTTAAGAGTTTTGTTTTGCTGAATTTGGAGTCCCCTGGCTGTCTTCCAGGAATTCCCCGTCCGGCCATTAGGGGGCGTGAGACCTGACCGTCAATCCTCGGGAGTCTGGAGACTGAGCCTAGGGGAAGTAAAGAAAGAAGAGCTTTTGTTTTATCATCATTTTTAAAAGTCTCCGTTACAGATCTGACACACTCAAACTTGAGGAAAACACCAGTACCAGTGTTACTGCATGTGTGTTTTAGCTCATCATGGCAAAATAAAAAGTTGTATTAGTTACTATACAGTCATTTGGGTAGACTTTCATTTCTGGGGTGGATTTTCAATGACATTGAATTCTGATTTTTTGGTCTCTGACTACATGAGAACATAGTAAGACTATTTGCATATACAAACACATCTCATGAATAATAGCAATAAAAGAAATGTTTTATTAACAGCACCAACAGTGACATGTCCTTGAGAAAGGTTATTTACCTGTGTTACTTAGTATCAAAACCCGTAGGTCATAAAAATAGGCGACTGCACACACAAAACTTTGGACAAAAGCATCCTCTGAAGTTAGTTACCCATTTTAAATGGATCTTTCCAGCCTAACCCTGTGCAGGCTCTAAACTAGTCTGTTGTAGTTTCAGACAATCCGAGGATGTTGACGGACTGTCTCTCGGAAAGAAAGGAGAGCAGAATTTTGACTCGTGGAGCTCTCGGGACGGTGAGGACAGAGGGTGAATTGTGGTCATGGAACTCGATACTCGAAGAGCGCTGCAATGAGATTATTTATTTTTGCAGGCTTGTTTTCTTTCGAGGGCAGACGAAGTCTGTTCTGCACGCTGCAAGAGAAGGAAAACAAGTAAAAACCAGGAAAAACAGTCACCTGATACTAGCAGATGCTTGGGGCCGACTTGTTCCCCACCCCCATTGTTTCTGGTATAAAAGAACCCAGGATGGGAAGAAAGACGCCAAAAAATCTGCCCACTTTCTCGTGTCATACTCTGCAAAAGACACATTCCTAAATCAGATCACCAGAGGCTCTGTGGTAGAAGCAGAGTGTGTATATAGTTTTCACAACTCGTTAGTGTAATTGGAGAATATCCAATACTGATCAGCTGGTTCTGGAGTGGCCCGGTATCGATTCACGTCTTTGACAAAGGACCAGAACAGACTGTCTACTCAGCTGAGGGGAGAGCACATTAGGGTGTATTTCTCATCTCTGACCTGTCAAAAGAGCCAATTTAGGACACTGTTTCCAGTGGCACTAATGCACATCTTCTAAAAGGTATTTTAAACCATTAGATTGGTATCCAGGGTAATCACTGCCCAGCTTAATCATTTTGTACAGTATTAAGAGGATCCCATCAAAATCAAGTTAGGCTTTCTGCCTGCCCCCCTCCCTCATTCTCGCCAAAAGACCCAAAAGCCTACAATGGCTTTAAAGTACGTTTTCAGGGCATAAAGGTTAAAAAACTGTGGCTTTTTTTGATCCAGTACTTTGGCATTTCTTCTTTTGTTTTGGAAAAACAAACGAAGATGTGCGATCGCAAAACACCTGACACTTACTGGATGTCACTACTTAAAAATCGAATGTTCACATTTTTAAGTCTAACGATAAGCCACATCCCCCCTGAAGGGAATCGGATTAGTTTGTTCTGTGGGTCTTGGAAGAGATAGAGTCTTTTGCTGCGGCTTGTACCTTCACCGTGAAATACTTCTGTTATCGCTCGTCCAGTAACCCAATTAGATCACAGACAACTTCATTTTGACCGAGAGGTCTGTAACCGGCCAGTATTTGTAAAGAGACCTAAAAGGGCATGGTTTTCTAAAACCAGGGGAATGCTCACTTGAAAAAGGGAGGCTGGATGATTGTCTTACTGGCCAAAACAACATCACGCTATCCGACATTGGTTTGGCAATAATCCAAAAGAAAAAAAAATCATTTTGGTGTAAACAATTGCTAGTTGCCGACAAGGATTTTACGGTTTTGTGAGGACAGGGAGTTTTCGCCACTGAAAATTGCATGTGGACAGCATGGAGACTTTCTCAGAGAACTCAGCCTTAGTTGAAGCCCACATGGGTTAGCTTGTGCCATGAACAGAGGATTATACAGCCTGCAAAGGCTGTAGATCAACAGCTACAGGTCTGAGATGAGTTAAACACACATTCCGGAATGGGGGAATTCTGAACAGGTACATCCCCAGGCAACAACAGCTGGGAGGAATTATTTATCTTTCGCTAACAGAGCAAACACAATGTGACTTGATTCAAGTGTTCACAGCTGTCAAAGTCAACACAAGGACTTCTTCAGGATCAACAGTGAAACAACAGTGAAACGTGAATCAGAGCAGACGAAACTATGAGGAAGTGTGTTTAAGGTCGGGAAGAGGGACTTCTTTACACAAAGGAGTGTGGGAGCCTTTTGAAACCTTTGTTATATACTTAAGCCTTATGCTTGTTTCATTTCCATTATGCACAAAAGAGGCTTCCTTTTCAATAGTAAGAAAATATCCCTGTGCCATTGAGTTTAGAATGAAGCTCCCAACATCACATTTAAAATCACCTCAAACAGTTTTATGGTAACATTTTGTTGTTAGGAATAATAGTATTCTAATTTATCATGTACTGCAATGCTACAGATGTAAATATGATCTAAAACTTTACCCAGGATTATGATGATATTGATATAACAGATTAAGTTCATACCTTCATTTTGATATAAATGTTCCTTAAAAGCAAAGCAGCAATGCAAAATGAATTGTCAGTGGTCTAACAATTATGTTGGCAAAACGTTAATTTTTGTCCCTGGAGTCCTAGTGAAATGTCTTGACATGAGTGAGTTATTTAGCACGTCCTTGTGTTTTGATACAGCTCACTCCGCTGCTTATAATTATATCAGTTGACAGATCTTTCAGAAGACGGACTGTACAGTCTGCCCAAACACTGTGCAGAACTCCAGATCATGCAAAAGCTGTAAATTTACAGGTCTGCTGACATTAAGTTTAGACCTCAGATCTGCTTCTAAGGGGATGCTAACTTCCTGTTTTTTTTTTCTTTCCTCTGTCTTTTTGCACAGGCCAGATTTCATTTTTCTCTCCAGATCCTAATCTTTCCGTCACGAGGATCTACATAAAGAATGGATTCTGATCACTGCATAAAGGGGTAGATTATACACAATGAATTCGGCCTACCCACGTCCTTTAAGACTGTTGTATCGGAAGCAAAGAATACTTCGTTTTCACTAGCCACTACCCACTTGTACAGATAATACAAGGCGGATTTTAATTCTTTTGTGCAAACATATTTATACAAAAGCTTTGGAAACCATGTTGCCTTGACACATTTTGAGGCTTCTTGAATGAGCCAGAACAGTAGACTAACTGAAAGATCATTCCTGCCCAAGGGAAATGGAAAAGAAAACACTTTTATAATCTAGCAGGGACAAAGCAAGGCAGAGTTACAAACATCAGGCTGCTCTACAGTTAAGAGATACAGAGAATAACTAGCTAGATTTCTGGGTTAATGCAAAGTATGTGTGAAATGATTAGAAATACTGCTGTACAAAAGGCTTAGACATTTTGCATTGGTCTGTGCCCCTAACAATTCTTTCCTTCTTTATGCAAATACAGGCTTTGATCATTACTGAGGATTTCAATCATTTTGGTATGAAGTTAAGTTAATCTTGATTGATTTACAGTGCAAAAAAGCTCTTTACAAGAGAGGAACAACAGCCGATGATGATGAACACTCAACAATGAGTCAAATTAGATTTCATAAATGGGATGGATTAGCCACTAAAATAATATATATTAACTTCTCCTATACAGTTTACCTACGGTTGTTGTGATAAAAGGGATTGATAATTCTGACCAATTTGAATAAAAGTTTCTAAATGACCAGCTTTCTTTATTCTCACCCAACCTAAGATGCATTAATAGTCAAAGGTAGTATAACAATAGGAAACACTGGAGGCTTTGAGTAAGTTGCAGGTGCTCACAACATACATACTGTATATAAGACTTATGCAAAGCAGTCATTTCTATTTTAAAATATTAACAGTTTCCCTTTGACCTTTCATTGTATCATTTTGTAGCATATACAACCTATTCATGCAAAGAAGTGGTACTACAGTTTTACTCCATGTGAAAGCAAAGAGCTCCATCACAAGTTAACGCCATATGCTGGCTCCTAAAAAGACTAACACATTTAAATGTTAATTTAAGAACATTGAAAATGTTCCCTGAAGCAATAAAGCGTCACTCGTGTTCTCAGCACATGAAGTCTTTAAGGTGCTTAAATAAAAAAGCCAATGTTTACAGCTGTTATTAGATTTAGGTAGATATCACTACCACAATATATCCTGTACAGACAGTTTGTATATTCACTGCCATGCTATAGTTCATGTACAAGAGTCCTCATCTCATCTCTCATGTTCAGGAGCTTAAAAAGCTCTTGGCAAAGCTGCATGAAATCTCAGAATTAACCACGGCCTTTCAAAGGGTATTTTTAAGCATGTTTTCCAAAGAGGAGCGCTTGTCTCATTCTCAGCAAGTGACGTGTTGTTTTCGTCCAAGAGGCTCCACACACACCCTTAAAGGAAACATGCGTGTAATGTTTTAAGTATTATAGACTAGGCTGTGCCTGTAGCTCGTTTTGTTTGTTTTTTTGACTGTAGCATTTCTTCTACAGGCCTGATGACTAACAAATAAACTAAGAGCCTAGTTTGTGCTTTTAAAGGAGGGAGGGAAGAGGAGCAGATTATAAAAACCTCTCTCCTTTAGTATATTAGTTATTTCCAAGTAACATGGCAACACTTTAGACTGCTCGGTCGTTTCTTTGGAATGTGTACCTGAATAAGGCATGCTCCTTCAGCTTTGTTACAGTATTTGCCAGCAGTGGTCCGTCTAAGACCAACGGGGCTGATGTAGAACGGCTTGACCCAAGAGTTAAGCAGGTCTTTGACCACGTTCATCAGTCCCCCAGTCCACTGTGCTGCAGAAACTGGTGCCTGATTTATAAAGAAAGAATATTGTACATTTGGCTGGATATAAAAAAAAAATGTTTACAGCCAGACAGCAACAAGTAATGTAAACTAAAAGAAAAAGTAATCTAGCTAACTGAAGCAAGGATCTCACCCAGCTATTTTTTGAAGGAAGCCGATAACATGGATGGGCAGTTTGTCCCATACTCCCCACCGCCCTTTGAGTAAATAAGGGCCTCCTGTTCTACCATTTTAAATGCATTTTAAACGCACAGGAAATTGTTAATATTACTGTTAATATTACTGTTAACCTAACATGTGCGTGTTTGATTCACCTGTTCTGACTAAATTCCGCTCTGGGCTTGCATAACACGCCATTCGTGAAGTCTCTCTTTAGTTCAATAGGTGAAGCAAGGCTTCATTTCTTTACCTGACCAGCTGTGCAGTGGGGCTCCTGGTGCAGACTTACTACAGTGCATTATTACTACAGGGCTGCACTTCAAAAGTGAGCCAAGTGGGCCCCCTCCTATTTGTAAAGATGTCTAGAGATGAAAAGCTCTATAGAAATTCAAGGAAGTATTATTACTGTAATGGAGCACACATGTTTTTACTCGATTTGGTTTCTTGTAGCTGTTGGTGCTAGTTCTTTGGCTTGTTGTTCTCTTTAACATTAATGCAAGCACTGTTATAGTATTAGTACATTAAGTAAATTTGCCAGGAGAGCAAATAAAGATTCCATTGTTCTCTGATCTCTGCGATTGAAAAAGCAAGGAGATGAACCGATAGAGAAATGAAGGATCCCATGCATGTAAGCAGAAATAGTTTTGTGCAGGCAGAAGAGACAGAACAGCTCAGAATACTGCAACATGGTGGACATCGGTGCTACATAACAAATCTGTAAGATATAACATAAGAACCTATTTGCGTCTGAATTGTTGTTGACTTTTAAGTATTGGACTTGTTTAGTGGCTGGTTGCTTATTGATCCAAGAGCTTTATCCAGATTCTTTCCAAACTGATTCTGTTTCCAAATTGCTTCAGCTGCTTGGCTGGCTAGCTTTCACCAGACACCCACAACACTTTGTGCAAAGTGCCTCCAATTTTCAATAAAGAAAGCACATCTTAATGGAATACACATTTCTAGATGTGGCACTTTAATAACTAAAGAATGATAAAATGAGCAAAAAAAAAAATGAAACTGAAAAATGAAACTGAGAGCAACATTTAGCTGTCTGTCCTGACAGCTTTCAATTTAGCCTGCTCCAGTAAACAAACACAAAAATGTCAACTGCAAGACTCCAAAAACAATTTGGACTATTAAAAAGATATAAATAACATAGGACTTTCTCAGATAATTTTCCAATAATCTCCCAGGAGCTCAAAATCAGAGGAGATGGAAAATATTGTTTACTTAGTCGCTCACCATACAAAATTTCCACCATTAAGAGTCTTTAAAGTGGAAGAGCTTGACTGTGAGACTGAGAACACAGTAATAAATAAGAGGTTTGCTGCTTATTCTCTCTGCCTTGGGGCAAGCTGTGAGCTGTAGAAGTTTTCCAGAATCCAGACTGTTTAAATTAAAACATACGTCCCCTATGGACCACTTGAAGTGCAGTTCAGCACTGTTTGTTCACATTGTTTTTAGTTAGAGCTAGTCTGCGCCAGTGTAAAACTGGGGGAAAAAAAAAA